TATTTCCCCGATTTCTGCGACCGATTTTTGTGAAATTGCCCTCACTTCATTTTTAAGATTTTTTGAGTGATGCACACTCTATGTATATATACTCTTTGGTTTTATATAGGATATCAATATGTAAAAGCTAATTTTACTCACCATGCAATGGTGTGTTTACTTACCATAAACACAATCCTCTTTTAATTGGAAAATATATAATTGCAATAATAATATAATAATAATAATATAATTATAATAAATAATTAATAATAATTAATAATAATAATAATATAATTATAATATATAATAATTAATACTAATAATAATATAATTGCAACTTCAATGATGTTGAATAAAATTCATCATATCTAGTGGTTATGGAAGATCACCTCCACATGTAGTATATTCACCAGATTAAGTGTTTTTTATATAATAATTTGAAAATATGGATTTACTGGGAAGAAATCGAATTTGGACGTACTCTCGTAAATGTTAGTGCTAAGATAGGATTGTCGAAATAATGAATTAAAAAATAATCACAATCTAATTTCCTATTTCATTTATTACTGACTAATCAAGAAGCTCTAGTACATCTATATTATTCTAATATAAAAAGTCTTTCCTTTCACTCGTTTATTACTAACTAATCAAAAAGCTGTAGTACATCCTAATTATTCTAATATAAGAATTCTTTCCTGCAATTCGTCAGTTGTAGAGCAAACACCTGAACATATATAAAAATATAAAAGAATCAGCATTCATATACATTGTACATACAAAATATATATACATTACAAAATTCACTTTTTATAATTATTGTTAATTTTTAAAGTTTATAAAATAAACCAAATATTTCGAAATATTTCAAGACAACAAAAAAAACATTTATTTTTTGTAAACCAAACCACAAAATCTATTTCAGCTGTATGGGGACCATATATAAAATAAATTAACGGATCATTTATGTAAACAAAGGAGTATAAACAAATTCAATTTTAAATATCTTTTAGTGATCATAAATTAAACAAATTGTTTTCTTTTAAATATCTTAACAATGAATTATTGTTATATATTTAATAAAGCTGAGATATGGTTCACGCATGTAGATTTGTGAAATACCAGAAGAATTCGAATTTACCCATTGGTTTCGATGTTAACCAGAAGTGCACGAGTAATGTAACCTAATTTTATTCTAATTAATAAAATTTTTATTTAAAAAATTGATACCTGTAGACACCACTGTACAGTATTGTTAAATATAATATGTTAATTGACACATCCAACCCCATTAAAAATTTTTGTTAGGTACAAAAATCCATTAAAGCACGATAAAGAATTCGACAAGCAATAAAAATTCATCAACATTTCTTACTAAAGAATCTATTTGAATGGAATAGGAGTTATTAATGAGGAAATTGAACCTTGAAGTTTGATCAACGCATGGGCAGTGTATAATAGGCTGACATACCTCAAGAATGGATATTACATGCAATACCTAACACAAAAGTTACAGTGATGAGAAGTAGGAGAAAACCATTGAACATCTTTTCAATTTTTGTAAAGCGCTTAGCAAAAAGTTAATGTTTGAAATAGGGCATTAGGTGCGATATAATATAAATATAATATATTTATAATATAATATATTTATAAATAAAATATTGCTAATATTTTTCTTGAAACGTTACTACAATTTCATCGACAGAAAACTGTCTTATAGGCAGACGACTGAATGACTGGTGGCGCAGCTGTGATTTAATGGAGAAATGAAAAAGTTTCACGCATATATATTTTTTTACTTCCCTTACTCGCTGGAACGAGTATCAGTCTATATCAGTATCAGTGTATCAGTCTATTATAGCAAATATACGAATTACAAACATCATCAATTACATTAAAATGATAAATTGGTTTCCAAATCCGCAACAGGTTTCCTTGTATGGTCCAAAAATTTGTATTTGGTGATCGGATTAAACATCTTTTGTTTATATACTGTTTTGCTTTATATGTACTCTGTCATTATTAACCACTTTCTCTGCGTTCCGTCGTTCACGTTTTCTGTGTTTGGTTCCTCTACGACAACTGATTCAGCATTTAAGGTCTCCATTGCGCAATATCTTCATGTCGCATAGTCCTTTCTATTTTCTTTCTCTTTCTTTCTCTCTGTCCCATGGTTATACCATTTTTTACACTCTTACATCGCATATCACTTTTAATAACATTTCTGTAGGTTTTCTGTTTTATGTATAGTGCCATCTATCTACCTTTTTCATTAGTAAAACTTGCATCAGAAAAGTAATCTCTAGTCGTATAATAATATACTCAATCAGCAGAGCTGGATTGCTTCCAAACTTCCGTGGATCGTGACGATATTGCTAGCACCTAGAATGAAGTTGTTTATTAGATTGTCCAATAACGTCACCTCTGTTGAGTACATTTCTACAAATGTATGCTTAAAGTTATTATCTTTCAAAACAAAATTAGAAACTGCACTTTAAAAATGGGAGTTAAAAAGTATATTTAACTCACTTACTATATATCTTCGTTAGTTGAGTTTCAAATAATCAATGTTCTTTGAAGACTTGATTAAACAAAATAAAATCATTAATGTTTATAGAAATCATTTGCTATCAAGTCAGCCGTTGAAAACTCAATAAACTGTGAATTTCTTAAAATTCTAAGCAAATTAAGTATTTGGTGTGCAAAATTAAAAATTAATAAAGTGAAACATACATGAGCGCCCATTAATGTTTACGATTACATTTCAAACGCCCATATAGTAATAAATCAAAGGAAATCCATTCAGAACTGGTCGGGAACTAAACCATCAAATGTTGTTAATTGCTCAGTTCGTTGCCATGAGATTTTTTTTCTCCATTTCAAGTGCATCAAAGTAAATCATCTTGTGTTCAGTGACGGATGTTAGGATGCTAAAAATACTCTTAAAATAATTCCACTTCAGTTGCTTTCTTAGTATTCTGTTATCTTCTATTTTTTTTTTTTTTTGAGAAATATTTGATTTTAAAATCTGCCTTTTTCCATTTGCAGTCTGTTACTCTACCAAATGTGGCATGCAGCATCTGGTTCCGGTTAATTTATTATTTATTTAATGAGTTTATCCAAATGAATAGCTATATGACTTATAAAGAATTATTAAGTGATTGCATTCGTTAGAATTACTTAGAATTTAATAGATATGAAGTCTACCAATTACCATTTGCGCTACAATCAATAAGTGACGAAGTACTTTGGGAGCCAGTTGATCTATGGGTGATAGTATATATCGCGAAGTACATAATAGTGCTTTCTACTGGGTGCTAGGGAAGAGAATACATCAGTGACTACCAATAGAACTGTTGTTCAAGATAAAAAAATTGTTAATGAAGTTCTTTTGCGTCTGTATACTTTTTGGCTACGTGATCGAAGTGAAACATGACAATTTTTAGTTTGCAATCAAAATCTTTTATGATCTTAAAAGAACATTATACTCAAAAATTCTACCCAGTAAGAACAAGATCACAATATATATGACAGTACTGCACTTGTAGCTGCAGTATTGTCAGGTTTGCTTTATTTTAAAGAAAAGACTTCGAAGCTTAATGAAGCGAGTTTAATAGGAATATATTCAACATAGATGCTTTATTTATGAGATAAATTACTTACTTATTTGGCCGAAGCAACCCGTTACTGACTTCGGCCTGAAGCAAAATATTTCTCCAAGTGAAACAATTGCTTTCATGCCTTCTTCAACCTCGCATATCAAGTTCAGATAGTGCAACATCAACTTGATCACTCTACCAGAGACACTCTACACCTTTTTCTTCCAACTATACTTTTTTCGCTCTAGCAATTTCATCCATTCTTACGACATACCAAGCCAACAAAGACGCTGGATGTTAATTCGTTGAAGTATATTAACGAACAGCTCTTGGTTAATTCGGATGCGATGGTCGTTGCCCTATGCGACGGATGCGGTAATGACGCTCCATGCTCCACTATGAGAGAAGGACAGCAGTAAGTAAGTAAGTTCTCACGAACTTGTGGAGGACCAAAAATTTTACGAAAAACTTTTCTCTCCAAAAGTTATTGACACAATATCTTGGATTATCTACGTTTTTGAAGCTACTTTTTTTCAATTCTTAGTTTTAAAATAAGACTCAATACTGTGTAACTAAATATACTTTATAACATTGAATGAAAAAATTGCACATTAATCGACACACTTCTCAACTGATGCCACTCATCACAAAAATACATTTAAATTAAAGAATTTAATTTAGCATACGAGTATTTTATAAATTTCCCCCATTCATTTTTTTAGAATCCATGTCATTAGAACCGGACTACACTCAAAATGATGCAAACCAATATGACAAAACGTAAAACACTGATCTTCGCTTGCTTTGGCATAGCAATCGGACTCTGCATAGGGACGGTATTGAAAAATTATCGTGCTTTAGAGATAGTCAAACGTTGTAGTGTCAAGCTAACGAATCAGAAATCTCCCTTCGAAATTATTGGACTTAACGAAGATGATACCATACAAAATTCGCAAAAAAATCTAGTATTTGTTGGTGTTATGACAGCGAAAAGTTTTATCGATGGACGTGCAAAGGCAGTGTATGACACGTGGGGTAAAGAGGTACCAGGACGCATAGCGTTTTTTAGTTCAGAGGGCACAACATCGAAAGAATTACCAGTAATAGCTTTGAAGAATGTCGATGATCGTTATCCGCCACAAAAGAAATCTTTTATGATGTTATATTATATGTATGAACATTTTATTGATCGATTTGAATGGTTTGTACGTGCAGATGATGATGTATATATAGAACCAGATAAATTGGAAACATTTCTGAGATCGATCGATAGCTCAAAGCCACAATTTATAGGTTGGTTAATATATAATTCCAACATAAATTTCTTATATATTAATTTCATATATTTATAGGTCAAGCAGGACAGGGCAATAGTAAAGAATTCGGTTTATTATCTTTAGAATTCGATGAAAATTTCTGTATGGGTGGACCTGGTGTTATAATGAGTAGTGAAACTCTAAGAAGAAGTGAGAACACCATTTATGTTTGGTATATATTTTTTTATATAATTGTTTTTATTCTAGTGGCACCACATATACCAACTTGTTTAAAAAACCTTTATTCCACACATGAGGATGTTGAAGTTGGACGTTGTGTGCAGAAGTTTGCCGGTATACCATGCACATGGAACTATGAGGTTTGTGAACATATATTCTTTAACTAATACTAACTTTTAATCACACATAAACTCTGTATGTTTTATCTTGCAGATGCAATATATATTACGACACAACTCTAGTGGTCGTTATGCATTTACCGGTAAACTAAAACGTAAAGAAATACATAATGCTATTTCTTTACATCCAATAAAACAGGGACCACTTATGTATCGACTACATTCCTATATACAAGTAAGTTAAGTTTTTTAGTGAGATCACAGTGGATATATTCAAACTAATTAATCATATTAATCAAAATTTTTTAAATCTAAAAATAATTATTTCTCTTTCTAATATATCGGCAATCCAAATAATATTAATATAATATATCATTTTCAGGGTTTAAAGGCTGACGAGATGCGTCAGGAATCATTATTACTACATCGCGACATAAAACGAATGGCAAAATTGTTAGAAATACCAAGTGAAAGTTCCTATGTAGCACCGGGCATATCGCTAATACCAGAATATGAAAATGGCAAACAACACTTTGAAGATCATAATATATTAGGTAAAAATCTACAAAACTATAGATTTTCATATTCCATAAGAAAGATGTTTAGATTTGCTATATAAACTACATAAACCTTATATATATTAACTATTAGACTACATTAACTAAATATAGTAAAGATTTTCTGTTCCATCCATAGCAACTCATAACAAGCCATCCTAAGCTCACTCTGTACCATATGTGGTAGGACTACTATATCTTTACTGGTTTTTTTTACTGCATTCCAAATCACCAAATTCATATATATCTTTTTAACATTCACTCCTCCACTTAAATGGTACCATGTATGTCGAGCATATATCAACAATTCAACTATAGTTAATAAGAAGTTTTCAGTCCTAATCTTACTTCATTTGTCACTTATGTGGTTAGCAGTATCGGGCATGCTTAACATATTATTAACTCATTATTAACACTTCACAAACATGATAGTCTGGTTGTGCTTTCTGTTTAGTGGATCCCACGCAAATAATGGAACATCATTGTGTCCTATAATATAACCACAAACACAGGCTCACACATATTTTTCAAACCATTATATATTTAATCAAAAGTTTATATATTATAAATTTTTTATATTCATAGGTATAAGTCCTGATCTAAACAAATTCATACCAGCCTCCACCGAAGACTTACTATTGTGGTCTTTTATTGCTCGTAGTATTTACTCGCCTGATAATGCAAATCCTAAACATAAAATAGATTCGGCATTACGAGAGTCTCTTGAGGATATTATAACAGAAGTAATGGAAAATATTAATAATTACTCTAGACAAAGAGGGAGAGTTATTGAATTTCGTGAACTACTCTATGGTTATACACGCTTGGATGCAATTCATGGACAAGATCTAATACTAGATCTCTTACTAATATATAAAAGATATAAAGGCAGGAAAATGACTGTGCCAGTTAGACGACATTTATATATACAAAGAGCATTTACAGGCATATTCGTAAAAGAATTAGAAGAAGACTTTTATAATGTAACGCTACAGAAAAGTAAGTATATATGTATATATAATATAAAATATAAAAATAAAAATAATTTTTCTGAATACAATAGGCTTTCTGAAAGACATTCTCAATACAGGCATAGAAAAGTTAGCGAGCCATTTTACAATACCAGGTTTACAAAATACAAATGGTATTTGGAGTAACTCAGAAACAAAATCAAAGATCGTTTTTGTTTTGCCCATATCCAGTCGATTGGCAACGTTTAAACGATTTATCGAAAATTATGAAGAAGTAGCTATAAAACAGGATAAGAACTGTGATTTACTGATAGTTATATTTGGTAATCAAACTATGATACAGGATCATCTGAATTTGTTACAAGAACTACGCATGCGTAATATATATCAAAAAATCAATTATATACAACGAGAAGAAGAATTTTCACGGGGTTTAGCTTTAGACACTGCAACAAGATCCTCTTACATTAGAGATGAAGACATCATTTTATTCATAGACGTTGATATGGCTTATACAACAACTACATTGCAACGTATACGCATTAATACCATACAAAATAAACAAGTTTATCTACCAATAGTCTTCAGCCAGTACGATCCTAAACGCAGAAACCAGCAATTAAAGCAGACAACCGATGAGGTTAATAATGAAAATGGATATTTTCGACAATTTGGTTTCGGCATATGTGCCATTTACAAATCAGACATTTTGAATGAGGATATAAATGGTTTCGATAAGGTATTTTAGTCTATTTCTCCAATTGTGATTTCAAATGCTAATATTTATATCACTACTTTAGGATATAACCGGTTGGGGTTTAGAAGATGTCAAGTTCTTGGAAAAAATTGTTAAATTAGGTCAACGTCAAAATGGTTTTCTAGTGAATACTGCAGAAAATTCATTTACTCTCAATAATAATACAGAACAAACGCGTCATTTAAATATTTTTAGAGCACCTGATCCAACATTGGTGCATATATATCATGATATAAGCTGTGATGTGAATTTGGAAGCACCACAATATAACATGTGCCTTGGCACTAAAGCCAATTCATTGGGCAGTACAAGGCTGATGGAAGAACTTTTTTATAGCAACAAAGAAAATATTGATTTTATTAAGGAATTTAATTCTAGAAAGGAAGAAAGATAATATCGTTCCTCCATATTTTACAAATTTTTTAAGATTTTATGGATGTGAAGTATTTTAGTTATTATATGATAAAGAAAAAAGTATTAACACAATAAACATTTTTTGTTTATATAAATTTATATGTACATATATATATTTTGATATATATATTATATATATTTTAATTTATAATATTAAATTAATATGCAATAAGTTTACATACATTCAATGTTTATTTAAGTGCACTTGTTTTTAAGTAGAAAAAATATCAATTAAAATGTAGTTATCTTAAATTACATAAATTATTTTAAATTAAATGTGATAAATAAATAAAAACTTTAAAAATACAATAATAAAAATATTCAACTATTTATAATCTATGTTCTTTAGCGTCGTTTATGCTTTATTGGGAAAGTTTGGCAAACATTTTTAATTATCGACTCTGTATTTTTTTATATCGTTTAGATTTACATATGATGCATGGGAGGAATGTTCAACAGGCCTAAGGCCTTGTTTAGTACCAACTGTGCAGCTTTCATTAAATAAATTCTAGCGTATATATAAGGCATAAGATGTTCTCTTGAATCCTGCAAAAAAATGTTATATTAGTATTAATTAAATACAGTAACATTTGACTTACAGTTAATATTTTTATACGCTGATAATAAACGCTTATTGATGATGCTAAGCCCTTCAGATATTGTTCAATTAAATTAACTGAACATTGTCCCTTTTTCAAAGAAGCTAGACATTCATCAATTAAATGTGGAAATGCAAAAACATAACCAAAAAGAATTTGCCATTCTTCCTAAAATAAGTAAACAAAAATAAATAAAATAATGTTTTTAATAAAACAATAACTTATACTTCTTTCGTTAGTAGAGACAAATCTACTTGATTCAAATCTGGTAAGTCTTCGTACTTGCCCTTCCTCACTTCATCATCGAAACGCCTCAGCAAAGTTTCAATGCGTGCAGAATTGTACAATATAAATGAAGCACCTAAAATCAGCGTATACTTAACACACAAATATAAACAATATTCCAAGTAACCACTAGCCTCTTGAAGAACCAATACCATTATGCAAAATTTTAGCATCTGAAGCAGGATTTTTCCCTAATAAGTCCACTGTGACAGCTGCTGTTGAAAGCTGCTCTAGTATAGCTTTAAAGTCCATTTGATTAAATCGTAGTCCATATTTATGCATAGCAGCTAAACGCATCTCAGCTCCCCTTACTCTATAAGTTCAAATATGCAATTAACTTTAAAGTTTTATACACTAAATTTGTATATTTTTCATTACTCAAAATATTCATCTAGAGACATTGTTGCCATTTTTCCTGTTACTGGATCCTTAACTAAGCCACATGTAATCTCTAAAATATTTGGGTCCTCCACTTCTTTTGGTGTATTTACGCTTCTTAAAGACAGTTGAAGTAGTTCGCCGAAAACTTCATCTGTCGACAGCTCATCTAATAAGTTCCACTCAGAGTATCGTAGCAACCTGATCAACACTTCTGTCAAAATTTTAACCCTATATTGAGTTAAGTCCTTACTAGCAACCTCAATCAACTTTGGATTTTTATGTACATATACATAACGCAAAGTATTTTTTTTATGTTTACCATACAATAAACCGCTGTTAGATGAGTCACCAAGGACTTGGCGTAGTAGAGTCTCAATCACTGTCGTACGTTTTAAAAATAAAATGCAACGTTCGCCAGCGAGTTGTATACGCTCAATTGGATAAACCCAGTCTGCTGCCTTTATTAAAAACTTTTTACATTCTTCGGCATCGTCAGCTTCATTCTCAGTTAATATATTAACATTTCTCAAAGCACCGTAATTACGGGCATATACATCCCAATTCTGCAGGCGCCGAATGAAACTAATGTCACCTTTCTCCAATAAACGTTCGTTTTGAAAGCGTAGCATTTTACAATTTATATCAAAATCCATAGTTTTTGATTTAACAAAATAAGCACAAATATCGTTAAAGATTATTTTTGCTGGAACATCCATTTTTATACGTGTTTAGTTCTCGTAATCCCCACTTAGGCATGAATCCCCTAAAAATAATGTAAACAAAGTTTAAAAATTATTTAAAAGTCTTAGCAACGTTGCTACGTTTTTCCAATTTATTTTGGGCGTTGGGTGTTGCTCAATTTTTTTACTTTTCGGAAATAAATTTATTTTCAAATTTTTATAAAAGTACATACATTAATTAATTTAATATATAACATATATTGAATTTCGATTAAGCTTTCATTTTTTTTTATTAAAAATTTTTATTAATTATATAACACAAGATCAACGTGATCCAAAAGTTTTTTCTTTGTCTCCACTTCAACTTTATGCACTTAAATTAGTTCAATAAATTATAGTGCAGTGATTATTATTAATTATCAAAATCTCTTTTTTCTTTTCTATTATTATTTCACAAATTACATAAAGGATATTTACACTCAATTTTAATCGTAAAAAGCCGGACTTTATCGCTGTAGGCTCCACAAAAAACTCTCCACTGAAATTATGATTTTTATACTGACGCAAAAATTTATACGGGTTGACTAGTGTTCAATTTAAGTCATGAAATGCAAATTAGTAGTTGGTCGTTATTATGATTATTGTTAGATATTTAACTGTAATCTGTGAAAATAAACGGTATTACTGTGTATTTAGTACAATTTTTCATAAGCAATATGTAGAATTTATATATAAAGAAACTAAGATTATTTTTATATAACCGGTTATAAATATTAAATCGAAACTATAATTAAGTCCTATAAAAAGAGAATGAGCAACAACTAGCTCTTATTTAAAAATAATATCAAAGACAAAAGACATACTAAAATTTTAAAGATTCTAAACAAAAATTCAAACAAAATCAAGTTTCACAAATTCGAAAATTTTGGAAATGAAATATTTTAAAAATATGCAAACTTGTAAAAAATAAATATTTTAAATATTGGAATTTTCGCTGGTTGCAAGTATGGCAAAAAAAAAGCAATTTGCTGGCCTATTGGGGAAATATACGCAAAACAATAACATCTTTTTCTCTACCTAGGGCAGTATATAATATGAATTCTGAACATCACTTTTAGTTCATTATTCATTTTAGTTATTAATTTTAGCTTTATAACTTATTTTTATACAAAATGTAATTTGTTTGCAATATGTGCGCATACGCAACACTTGTTCTTTGCGATGACATAACATTTGACAGATTGCAGCAGTGATGCCAATATCTCGTTTAATGTCAATGTCAAGCAGCTTGTTGTTTTTTATCACACTAAAAAACTAAATTACTAAATATTCTCTTAGTACGTTTTTTAACAGCTCAGCTCTTGTTTGTTTACATGTTACATATAAAACAAATGACAAATATTTCATATTTTGGTAATTTCGCTTATGGTAAATTTATTCTTAAAGGTTGGATTCGACATTTTTCACCTTAAATCAGTGCATTTATTTATAAAGTGCTCATTTATATGAAAACTCGTTGTATGGTAAATTATCGTCATTAGCATTCGTAATGAGTAAAATTGCCTGGATGAGAGAATGGCATTGTATTATTTTGACAAAAATAAATTCAAACTTTTAGTAACAGTGTGTATACACAAGTGCGTTCCACCAGCAAATTGTCGAGTAAATGAAAGCATCTGACAGAGCATAAGATCTCTGTTGAAATTTGAAAATGCTACACAGACTTTACTCGTATATTTTATTTTAAGTAAAATTTGTTTGAATTTAAATTTTTGTATTGTTTGTTTGCGCGGCTCTGGTGTTCTCACCAGATTTTACACAAAATCATTTCTTGAAAATCTGTGTATAGAGCGTAATTTGGCTCTTTATATGTGTCACGCTTTCAGTTTGTACTTTACTTGTGTTTTACTCGAGCTTTACTATGAGTAGCTGGTGGAACAGACTTAATGTAATGCATGTTTTATTTGTCACACAGACGTATATACATATGCGGTTAAGATATAACACGCCTCTTACAGAGAAAACGATGTTTGCATGTTGATCAAAGAATACAAATATATTAGATGAAATCTTTATTGATTTTTTTTTATGTGGCATCACTGTAATTACAGACATGTCAATCATAGTTTTTGGCTTTGCTTGTCATAAATACAAATGGGGTGCGTATAATTAAGTAAAATTTAACGAATCATAACTTTGCATTTAATTTTAAAAGATAATAATTATGACTTTTGTGGTTGATATAAATTCTGTTTGCTTAGTATGTTTGGAAGTTGAGAATAATATGCAAAATATTTTTGTTCGAGATATTCAAACACCTGGTCTGACGATAGCTGAAAAAATCGGACGATGTTCGACAATGATACTTAGTCCAGATAACATCAAATTGCCAAGTAAAATTTGTACTGCATGCTTAGACGATCTGGATGCGGCGTGGCGGTTTCAAAGGAAATGTGAATCCGCATGCGAAGTGTTCCAATCTATAATTGAAGACGATTCCAATTCAGCATATATAGAACTATCGAAAGTAAAACTTCCAGATAATGTAGCTTTAAATAAACTAGAGTCTGAACCAAAGACTCTTACACTTCCTGCTCAATTAAGGCTTAGCACTGAAATAGAAGATTTAAACACTGTGAATAATGAGGATACGAATAAAATGGATGCAGAAGCTGAACATTTAGATGATATAATTGAATCAGAGGTGGAAGAAGAGTCTGAAAACATTGAGATTGATTTAGATTATTATGAGGCTGAGGAAATCTATAGCAATGACATAATAGAAGTGAATAGAGAAATGGAGGAAAATTCTGAAATCACCAACAAATTAACTACTAAAATCAAAAAAGAAATCAATGAAGATGCACGGTATACGCCAAGTATAAATACGATTAATATAAAAAAAGAAAAAATGGATTATGATGAAGAAAGCAATGCAACTCCAGAAAAAATAAAAAGAGGTCGTGGTCGTCCTAAAAAAACGGCAGAAAATAGCTTAAAAACACCGATCGTTTTAAAATCCATAAAAATAGAAAGTGAAATTGATGCAGATTATTATCCAACTGCAGCGAGGAGTAATAAACATACACTACATGATGCTACTGATAAGTTAACGATGAAGCCTTTAAAAGGTAACAAAACTAAACATTCGCCAATTGCACGTCCACTTAAAATATGTGACATATGTGGAAATAGTTATAAATACCAACATGCATTAATAGCACATATGCGACGACATACTAATGATCGACCATTCAGTTGTGAATTTTGTAGCAAAGCATTTGTTTCTGCTGTTGAATTACGACGACATATGCGTGTGCATACTGGTCATAAACCCTATGCCTGTAAATTCTGTGATCGAAGGTTTTCGGATTATGGTTCACGTATCAAACATGAACGCACTCACACCGGTGAACGACCGTACCACTGTACGAGTTGTAAGAAAAGCTTCGCTTACGCTCATGTACTTTCTGTTCACTTGCGCACTCACACAGGAGAAAAGAAATTTAAGTGTACTATTTGCGAAAAGGGATTTACGAAGAAAACCTATCTGGAATCACATATACAGCAGCACGAAAGAAATGCAAATATATTTAAACAAGATATGCAAATAATTGAAACACTTGTTGTGAAGGATGAGGATGACTACCAAGATGCACTTTACACAATAACAGAATATGTTGAGGGAAGAGAAGAAGAGTCTATGGAAAATCAAATAATAGTTAAGTTAGATGATGAAGAAGAAGAAGCTGCATTGGGTGAGGATCATCTGGAATATTTAATTGAAAATCGATAGAGAACAATTCTATATAAATCAGTAATTGTGAAATTGTTGTAGTTAAAAAGTATTTTGCACTGAGTTATAACAGTAAATAAATAGAAATATAATATATTTGTTTTTATTACAGATTGCAATGGTTTAATTATTTTTTTTTTCTTTACTACAAACTACAAATTTTGGAAAAGGTGTAAGAAGGTATTAAAATGTAACACTGTGATGCAAACCATGAAACTTAATGTTCTCTAAATTTTGTTTTAACTGCATATACACCAGAAATGATCAGTAATAAATTTCAGAGGCCTACGTCCTGTAGCCACTCGTCTCCAGCAATGATCAAGTGCCATTCGGCAGCTCCCAAAAGGACTTCACTAACAGGTCCCAGCGAGTTACAACAACAGCAAGATATTTGTATGGTTTAAAGTACTTGTGGTTTCTATTAATACAAAACGTATGTATTTGCTACTTACTCTTTTTTAAAGCCCCACCAATTTAATATACTGAATCATTTGAAATGTTTGAGTTAAAAGCTTCAATATTAAATATAGAGCTAAGATGGACATTGTATGATATGTTGTACGTTCTTCTTTACCATGCAAAATAAACTTCTAAAATTGATAATATTGTCGAAAGCACATCTTTAGAAATGAAAAATAGCAAAAGGTCATTGTTGTTGCAGTCTCGTGGGGATCTTCTTGTGTAGTTGCTTTGGAGGATGGTGAACGGCACTTAGTCGTCGAAACTGATGAGTGGCTCCGGAACGAACGACCTCCGCAACAACCTAGGCGTTCTTGAAAAAGGTCGTAGCTATGTTTTGCTATAAATTCAAAATATATACATTATAATAGATGCTCAGTTTAAGAATCGACTCTTAAACATATAAAGGCTCATGGACATGTATTATTATTTTATTAAAAGAGTCGACGTGAAAATTACCCAACAGCCGGTACTGCGGCCAGAAGAGACTTATTGTACCAGTTTCACTATTGATTAAACAAAGCCCCTCAAAGCTTTGTGAATAAAGTCTAGAACTTAATCTATAGAAGAGTTCTTAATCTGCTCTGGTGACAGAAATTCTTTATGAAACAGGTTTCTTTATGGACATGTAAGAATCGTACCGAATTATGGTTATGTATGTTATATTACATTTATTCAAATAGTTTGATATGAAATGCATATGATTCAATTTGATTACTTTTAGTTTTTTTCTTTCTAAAGCCTTGATTTTTGGAAAGATGATTCTGATAGTAAGAAAGGTACTTAAATCTGATCACTGATTAGTATAAGTTTCAAATACCTTTAATTTCGTTTATCCTAATTTATTTAAACATATTGATTTATGATTTCATATTTCAAAAAATCACTAAATTAATCATCAAAATCGATCAAACCAAATATATCAGTTATCACAATTATTAGACACTGTCATCTTCCATCTTCACATTATATTATAATGGGCAAAATTTAATTAGCTATTTTTAAATTGTGTGATTTTTAGTTTTTTTTATTATACTTAATATCAAAATGTTGATAATACTGATAAGAGTTCATAATTCCTTTTCGAACAAGCTTTAGAAATGCGAACATCCGAAATAACGAAACCAAGACTAACCACCGTTTATAGTAGAGAAATACAATTAAAAAAAATTTTGACCGGGTTGTAATAGATAACAATAATAATGATTTCCTAGGAACACGTAAATATGCTGAGAGGTATAACTTCCCAATTCAAGTAAAAATGAACCAACCTGATAAGTCTATAAAGTCACTTATTTTATAAGATGCGTGCCTTGTTAGTGGGTCCAAGTCTTCTCCTAAAACATGAGGCGCAGTACACTTTCTTACTCATTCGTAAGCCCATCACCCCCACAACTCATGGGGTAGATTTAGTGTTTAAGCATGGCTTCTTAGTATGCAGTAACTCATCAGCATGCTTCAACATTTTAGTTGAAGCAGCTGACTAGTACGAGTTTGGAATAGGTCGACCTTGAGTTTTAGCAAGAGTTTTCATATGCTCAAGATTTTTAGACTTAAGAATTATTATATGACAACCTACAATATTTCTTTCATTGTGGTATAGACATATTGACGAACTTAATATACCTTTTTTGCAATAAACGTTTTCAATTATAAAAGATGTGAATTTCGCCTAATAAAAATTGGCACAGTGACCCAAATACTAAATCCATAAATCTATTTCAATTGATACAAATGTTTTCAACTCATTTGAATGCATTTTTATAGATGTTCTAGAAAATTAATAAGCAGCGCAGCTGTTTAAACTCTATTACTTTCCATGAATATTTTAGAGAAGTTATGTGATAGTGATTCTTGCGTCACTTAAGGTTGTATAATATTTAAATAGTGGCTTAACAACTGTGCAAATAACTATAAATATAGAATAAAGCTTTCATTTCAAAATTTCACGAAACTCATCAACTCATCTATTAATGGGAATTAAAACTTTAAGAAAAATTTTAGGTTTAAAACCAGTTTTGAAAATTAAAAGTTCATTGATCATAAATTTTTTTCAACTTCACTCCACGCTTTACTTCAGAGGTCAATAAGCTTTAAAGCATCTTTAAAAGAATTTAAAAAAAAATTTGTTCATTAACATATTACAGAAAAATAACAAATTAATAAATTTAAATTTTACATATTATTTTATTATATTGTAAATTATATACTTCACTATAAAATAGTTACATACATGTAATACAATTATTGTTTTTAAGTTTTAAACACAATTTATTTTGGTACGGCATTGAAGAATAAATTACATATTTATTATCTAGACTTAAAATTATAAAATATGAATTGAAAATTATTACGATTTATAGCAAATCAATAAAACTTGATCAGTACAAAATTGTTGAACATTTTATGTATATAAATATATTTATATATTAGTTTACCACGCATATTCACGAACATATTTTAAAAATACGATTTTCATAGTCTAAATTCAACTTAAAAACTTTTTTAAATTCACGTTTAATTTCAAAAATTTATAATATATATTATTTACTAAATTTTAATCTTCGAAGGTAATGCGCCCGGGTCCGTGATTTTTCATATACCGCCTATACGATTTGTATCTTGGGTTCTCAGCTAGTTTCTTTTTCATTTCTTCCTCCTGCTCTAACTTCCATTTTTCGAAATTATCCTTTTTCCACAACTGCAAACGTAAATATTCCTCAATTTGACTGTCCTCTTGCGCATTGAATTGATGTTGACCCATCTTCATATATCGGCGTATCAAATATAATTGCTCCTCGCGTCCGTAAGGATGTTTCAAGATCGTAAAATTCCAAAACCATTTTGCATGCCAAATAAAGAAGCAAACTATCGTATAAGGGCATATAAGCAATTGCACCCAAAGTACATCCCACACTGAAGGCTTAGCGTAACCGCCTTTAACATCCATTTTTTCTTCGATCACCTTGCGTATAATACGTTCTAGTTCTTCTTTCTGATCGACTTTAGATAAGCGATTTTTGCCTTTACGATTATTAATTTTTTGATTAATTTCATCCTTTGCTATTTCCAGCGCTTTATTACGATACTTCGGCACAGTAGCAAAATATTTAATGGCAGAATCATAACGCTGCCAACCAGAGTAGTATTGTATTATCGACACTATACTAAGTGTTACTACTATGACAATGCGTACATCCACTTTAGGTGCCAAACGTCGTCTATAGTATCTGTAATAATGTGCATAATACTCATCGGGATTATCCAACATGTAGTCATAATCAGTACGAGATTCATCATTCCTTAAGATCTCATACGCTGTTGCTATAAGTTTGAATTTGACTTCTGCCTCAGCCTTGGCCTCTTCGCCTCGATGCATATCCGGATGGTATTTACGAGCCAAAATGCGATATGCTTTGCCAATTTCAGCTTTTGTGGATTCACGTGTAACTCCGAGCACATCATAACAGTTTTCTTTTCCACAATAAAGTCCTTCCAGCAGACCAAAAGTAAAACTGGGCAATAGCAGCAGAAAAATGCTGCATATCAATAATCGCCGGTATGTGGACATTTTTGAATTTTTGTTCTTAACAAGTGCAAAAATTTAAACTCTGCTTTGCTGCAGACCAACAATATGCCACGTTGAATTGAAATCTATTCTCAAATTCGGTTTTTAATTCCCGACCTACTTTTTCGGTGTACTCCGTCCCACAGCACAATATGTTCTGTGTTTGGTTTATTATACGGGCTAGCAAGTAGCTTCTATAATAAAAATAGATGAAATTTCTGAAAAAAATTTCGAAGTGCTCTTACCTTCCGAACCAACTTTCTCTGACAACTCTCTACTTATTCTTTGCATATCTTTTCTTAATTTTTGAATCTTTTGTTGTTGTCTCTTAACAGCTGCAGAATTTTCTTTACATTGTAAAAAATATTGTGATTTTATATATTTTAATTCTGATGTGACATGACAAATTTTTTTCCAAACAAAAAAATCAATTTAAGAAATATTTTTCTTCATAAAATATTTCTGTAGTTTTATTACTATTTGAATTACTAATAACTGCTTAGTTAATTTTTGTTAATTATATTTTTACCCAAATTGTAGTTTTATGTAAATATAAAATCTTTTGAGATTTTACTATGTTTTCATTATCGCATTTTCGCTGTAATCTCGATAAATGTGTAGTATTTATCATATAAAATTCGTACATTACAAAACATAAACAAATATGGCAAATTCCAAGAACAGCTTATGATATTATTGTCTATTTAATACTTTTATTGAGTATATAGAGTGTGTAATTTTTACAAAATTTACGTTATTAGAATCTTACACTGGTTTCACACGAGGGTTTTGTTGGTAATTTCAACTGCCAATTGTTGTTGCTTTCAACGCAAAATTAAAATTTTTGACAGCTAAAATCACAAATATAACTTTTATATGAATTTAGTACTACTTTTGTGACTACTTTTGAGGAATGAATGAAATATTATATGTAAAATGAAACAAAACTATTATTTATCATATGTGCAAAAAATTTTTCATATGTGCAAAGTAAATATTTTATGAAAGTAGTTAAAAGGTGTGGACATATGATAAATCTGACAGTCAAATTAGAATGATACGTAATGGGAATCGATATTTCTGCTTTTTGAGTTTAGATGTCAGTTTAAAATTTTCGACAGCTGAAATCACAAACCAAACTTTTGTGTGAATCTAGTATTACATTTTAATAGCAAAAAAATCTAATATTTTAATTAAATAGTAATAATAATTGCGTGCTGTTTATCACCATTCCTATTTATTACAATAAATAACTAATCACTAGAGAACCTTCTTTAAGGTATATATTACTGATTCACCTAAGGTAAAAATGAGTGGAAACATCCTAATAGAAAAAAAAATGTTTTATTTTTATTCAAATGCGCACTTTAATTTTAATATTATATAATATATTAAATCATACAAAAATTTGATTAAAATTGATTTATAATTTTAAATCACGTTTTTCTTAAATTCAACAATATTTTTCTCAGTGTATTTTCCTCAGAATAAGAAAAAACAAGTTTTGTTTCTTATTCTTCGTTGACAAGAGCTGTCATTAGTATTTACACGTGCGGCATTGTAAGTTTGTTAATATAAATATTATATTTGTAAAATATAAAAAATAAGTATGTCTGTTGCAAAACGGAAGCGAATTTCAAAGAAAAATAAATCTGCTTGGCGGAAAACAGATATAAAAGATGTAGAAGATTATCTGGAAGTACAGAGACAGGAAGAGCGTGTTGGGTGAGTTATCCGTAGAGGCATTATGTCTCAGATTCTTAAGAATATGTTTTAACATGATAACATTATTTGTTATGCAGAACTGTAGCTGATAAACCAGACGAGGAACTGTTTATACTTGACGGTGAATCTGTAGCACAAAAACGTAGTGCTCTGACGGAAAAGCAAAAACGCAAAGTAAATGCCAAGAAACCTTTGCGTTCATTAAATGCTTTAATAAACACATCCAAAGTACAGGATCCAATTGTAAAACGGTATATTTTGTTATATGTTATATAGTTACTAAATTTTATTGAAAATTAAAAATGCATCACATAGAAATCGCGTCAAATTGAAGAAATCCGGTAGAATAATTGAAGAAGAAGTTCGTAATCCTACTAAGCCGCGTCATTTTCAAGCAAATAAAGATCGCGCTCGTTACCATGAGACATTGGAAAAGAAAAATAATAAAAAAAGTAGGGAAATAGATACAAGCAAAGATATTTGGGCAGTGGAAGATTTTCGTGACAAAATACCTGGTTTGAAGGATGAAAAAGGTTGGATTAGCAGAGAACTTGCACTACATGTAACAAATAATATTGGAAAACCTGTAATAAAAGTACATGAAAGCATTCGGCATCGCACAACAAAAGCAAAGTAAATTAATGAGTTTTTGTTTGTATGTCTATTTAGTATGAAAATAATACCACAATTTTTTTTATATCAGGAATTTTGAACCACCACATCCAGGAACAAGCTACAATCCATCACTGGAAGATCATCAAGATCTCTTAGCTAATGTTGTACAAACTGAAACAAAGATTATTAAAAAGGAAGAACATATGAAACGTATAACCACAAAAATGTTTTCAAAAGTAACTCCAGAGGAACGTGATCAGTTACGACTTAAGGAGATGCGTGCTGGGTTAGATGATGAAGATGAAGGCAATAACACAAATGATGAAACAAACGATGCAGACACACCGTATACAACACTTAATGCACCTGTAGAAAACAAAAAGAAAAGTAAACAGGCGAGGCGTAAAGAATTGAAACAGAAGGAATTACAGAAAAAACATCAAGAGCGAAAAGCTTTGAAAAAGCAAGTCGCTGACTTAAATAGGTATTGCTTTGAAATTGAAGTAAATATAATATAATTTAATTATTAAAACTAATATGTTTTTTTATGTTTTTAGAATAAAATCAATTAAAGCTGAAGTACTCGCTGAATCAGAAGCTTTAAATCAATTGAAAAAACATCGCAAAAAAGTTGCTGAACAGAAGAAATTTGAACCAAAACGTTTAGGCCGTCTTAAGTATGTTGAACCTGATGTAGATGTTAATATGGCTGAGGATATTGCCGGAAATTTACGTAACATTAAAACTGAATCAAGTTTACTTGTAGATAGATTTAAAAATTTCCAAAAACGAAACATTTTGCCAACAAGTGTTGCGACTGGCAAACAAAAAGCAAAGAAGGTTAAACGTTTTCCACGAGCTTCACATAAAGAAGCTGGCATCTCACATCAAATGTTAAGAGACCAAAAGAAGTCAGGAACTTTGAAATTTATTAAATAAATTATTTTCAATTTTATTATGTATTTTAATACAAATTATTAGAACTGTGTGTTTACTTAATATGTATACATTAAATATATGTAGAGTAAATAATAATAAGAATGTGGCACTTATATATTCGAGGTTTTAGAAAAGATTGAATTAGAAAATATTTTAAGAAATGTTTTTAAATACAATAATATATTTTTAAAGCATAAGAGTATTTTGTTTGAAATTTAGTTTAAATCAAATATTTTAAAGCTCTGCTGCTTTTAAATCTCATACAATGTTCACCATAAGACTTATAGAACCGCTTTAGCATATTTCATAGGGATTTTGTATGATAAATGACACATATTCCTGCATATCTGTCAAATTAACTATCGGTTAAACATGGTACTAAAAGAAATATTTCTTGTAATTATCGGTCAACCAGATTTCCAAAACCTCTCTTATTAAAGAGTGTAATTTTTTCTTTGATTACCAACTTCGTATACTTTTTAATTTAAACAAAATAAAGTGGTGATTATGGTTTTATTTAACTTTTATATGCAAATATAAAAAATTTTAGTATCTTTTTAACTCATTAATTTATTAACTTTTTAACAATTTAAGTTTGAATATTAACTGATTTGTTCATTTACTATACATAAATTTATTAAATATTACCCTAAATGCAACATGTATGAGTATTCTTCTTTTACTGCACAAAAAAGCAGTATCTTTGGTTTAAGTTGACTTTGTTGTCTAACAATATCTATCATAGGCCAAATTTTTGCCAAAGTTTACTTAATCGTGTACCTGAATCAAAAATGCTACGCACCATAAATACTTGAAGCAGACCAACAACAATCATGGCAAGAATCTATATAAACAATTAATTATTTATAGTGACATATGTACTATATTGTAAGTCGGAGCATATAAACTAACCTGGAATATTGACCATGCATTCACCATTTGAAAATTGGCTTCGGCAAGATTGCGATCCCTCGCTTCGTGCGAACGTAATACATCCTGCAATTGTCTAGCTTTAGTCAACGCTATGCGTATGCGACCGAAGATGTCCATAATATCTTGAACTGCCATATCATAATATTCGTTACTAGTAAGACCATCCAAAATGTCATTAGAATGTTCGACACCTTCTTCATCAATAATTAACTCGAAGAACACTGTTTTACGGTTAAACATGCTAAAACTATTATCAAAGCAAAACCTATAAGGTCCTTCTTTCGCAACATCAAGTCTATGTATATTTTCCGGCTTCTTGAAATCATTAACTAAAATCATGCCAATTGGATCAGCTAGTGCGAAATTTATATCAAGATCACCATGTCCTCCATCTATTACCTGATATTCTATATCAATTGTGTGTCCTTGTTTAGCATGTTGAAAAAAGCATTCCTAAAAGTTATAACCATTAATTTTGAGTAGTTAAAAATGTATTCGAATTTACAATTTTGCCGGCATCTATGTGTACTGTCATTTCTTGTTCAAATGCATAAATACAAGTACAAATTAATAGCAAATATAGAATCGTATAATAATTATTCGACATTTTTACAAAATAGATCATTAAAATTTAATTTTATAAATAAATACAAATTTTTTAATGCTATAACGATAAATACGATATTATAAAAATGAAGAAGGAAATGAAACGTCAAAATGTTAAGAGTTGTATCTGGAAAAATCATGTGTAAACTTGAATCATGCTTATATGTTGAGAGCAGTCCAATATTAAATCAGATTTTATACATTTCATTTAGGGCCATGTTATACTATGTTTTCATTGCTTACTTAGTAAGTTATTTAAGTAATTTTAAGATTTAGTTGTTTCCATTGGCGTAAGTTACTTAAGGGCAATTTTAATTTTTTATTGTAATTTTTATTTTTTATTTTTAAGTTAAAAAGCATGAAAGCTCTTTGAATGGTTAATGAAATTTGGTTAGCAAATTCTATTAAGTCAGCAGTGGAGACATACTATTATATAGAGAGTCATGGGCTCGTTGTAAGCAAAATTGTTGTTGTTTTCAATGGAAATTATAAAATTGAGAGTTAAAGAAGAAACAATATACCGTTTCGTAAAAATAATATACCGTTGTAAAAATAGTTATGTTGCTATTGACTACACTAAAAAATTAATCATTAACGAATATAAATATGAAATAAAATCTCTTGCTAAAAAAACAGCTAAAATCCTCCATAAAAAAGCAATGAAATATGTAAGGATTGCAGATAATGAGTTACATAAGGTATACACATTATACCATAAATATGATTTTATAGGGTTTATAATAGCAACCACACGAATAGAATAGAAATAGATTAATAAAAAATATAAAGAACCAAACAAATTTGTGGTATATTACCTCTATATCAAATATAAATATTTGAACTAGTAAAAAGTACATATCTTAAATCTCATCCATCCCCAATCTACTACTACTCCTTAATTTCCCATCACTCCTCCTACCCTCACTTAAAAATTACCCATCCACACCCTAATCCATCTATTCGTCGTATTATTTTCTTGCATGTTATCTGATTTACAGATCCCTGCAGGCTACCACAACAACATATCTCTTATAAGTGTATATTGTACCCTGTAACGAATTTTTCAATTTAATGGTTTATTTAATCCATTAATCTGCTATGTAACTGTTCGTGTCTCTCAAGAACTCGACAAAAATACTTGCGGACTGTCAATTTTACAGGCCTGGAGCACATGAGGTTGCTGGAGAGCTCTTAATACAATTCGATAATAACACGCGCATCGTAAGTGATGCACATTATTGCTAGAAATAAGACTCTAATCTGATATTGCAATGGATCTTAATGGTCTACGCGTGGCCTTTTGGTCTGTTAGCATAACCTAACCTAACCTAACCCATTAATAAATCTCGGTTAGTTATAAAATATTTCAAGACAGTTTCATTTTAAATACTTTTTAGTCACATTTTGAATTTTTTCAACATTACTCGTTATCATGCACGTCTACTTGTAAATTGTATTTGCAAGTATAAGCTCTTATAAAGCTTAATTTATTTTTGTACATCTGGTCATCTTAAACTTTAATTAATTTCTCTCTTATTAGAACGTTTGCCGCTAATACAGCTGTTTAGTGTTGTTCTTTTTTGTGTATGACCGCTAACTGAAAAATATTTTAGGATTGTGCAAATCAGTTTGTAAAATAATTACAATTTATACACACGTTTAAGTGCCAAATAATAGTAGATAATGATATGTATTTAATTTAAGCACGAAAAAAATCAGTTTTCTTTACATCAAAATGAGGGATTCCTTCCTGTTGCTGATGGCGCATTCGCTTATCGGTAAAATTGCACTTGAGTATAATATATTCTTGCTTAATTTTTGCTAGTCATCAATTACGGTAAATACATGTACTTTACCTTTTTAATACAGGCACTGGCTTCTTTTTTCTGTATGTGCATCATTTACGCTCAATTTATGAGTCTCGTACGAGTATTGCACATATGACCCAACTGGAGCGTGAAGCTATGCTACGACAGGAAGATGCACTTTATTTTTCATTTTATAAAACATTAGTATCGGAACCGAATTTTATGAACGGTATTGAAAAATTAAAAAATGTAACTGATATTGAGCACCCACACCACGTTAATGTGCTTCAAAGATTCTATGTATTGCCAGAAGTGACAATTGCGTATGTATTTTAAAGTTTAATATAAATTAAAATGTAGCTTAGATTAAGGATTTTTTCAGGTTCTTATATAGATACAGTGGTTATCAGAGATTCTCCATGTTGACTTGTTGGCGTTCAGGTGATATGAGCATGACAGGCGAAAGATGTGATGGATTTGCACAAGCCATGCAATTTTACTTGGAATTTGTTTGGTTATTGGGAGGCTTAACGTTGGTTGTTATTTACTTATATAGCACGTTGTTAAGGTATATTCCCGTTTGCATAAATTTTTTATAATTTATTAGAATATAATACAAAAAACTAATTTTCATTGTTTTTTTTTTTTGCAGTGAGAATGTTTTTGGTGGCATTTATGCTGTTGTTTCCTACATAATGTTCCATAGTTATGCATCGAAAATATATGAAAGACCAATGGCACGGGAAAATTTTGCATTTCCTTTTATTTTACTACAAATGTTTTATCTAAGCGTGTGCATTCAAAAAGTTTTTAAGCAGAAAGAATATCAATTTAGCACTTTTGCGGTAAGTGATTACAGTTAAAGCTTTCTTAAATGTACAACGGAGACACCAATAATTTCGTCCAGTTGTGCGTTTATGTGAATGTCAGTTTAATAGCGCTTTCACTGTATCTTACATTTAATATATTATTTTATTAATATAATAGTTCTTGAGAATAAGAAATACGAAACGTTCATCTAGTCATGTATTTACAACTGTTAATATTTTATTTCTTTAAAGCTGGTTTTTCCTGCAGTTGTTATTATGCAGAAATTTGATATATTATTGACAATAGTCTTAATAAACAGCAGATCGTTTTAAGTGACGAATTTATAGCCTGGTAGAAGTGTACTAATACTTATGCAGACATATTTATAGTGTAGTCATAGATAAATTCCACAAATTTCGTGTATTGTAAACATCTGAGTGAACTGATAAGATGTGCAGTTAAAAAACAGAAGATTAGACCAAGTTCAATTTATTTCAATACATTCTTATATCAGAGAATTATTGGATTTTGCATATTATTACATCATATATACAACTGCATAGTGTTGTAGCTTTTGTAATACTTTAAAAAGATAAAGAGCATGTTTCAGAAACAACTGTGTACTCAATCCATAAAAATGCACTTAATTAAAAATTAATTTTTGTAATTAAATTTCCTCTTTATAATGCCTTTTTCTATTCTAAATGTATGTATTTAATTTTTAACGCTCTTAGATATTAAATTCTGTAAACTGTTACGCCCAGATTTAAATGTATTAACAATTGTCAAAATCGATAGCATATTACCCCAATTCCAGCTAAAAATATACCTTAAAAACCAAACATTCTTCTAAACTTAGAAGAAAGAGAAGAAGAAGAAGGAGTAGTTTTAATCTGCTTATACCCATAATTACAGGGTATTGTTTGATAGATATAGAGACGAATTGATTGTGTGACGGAATTTTAAAGAAATTGTCAGAATAAAGATATGTTAAAAGTGATAGAACATTTATTACGTCACACCTTAAGTTTAGGCTTTTAGAGAGAGACACAGCTAAGCAGGGTAGAGAGACATAAGTAAAGTTCTATTAAAGTACATGTTTCTCTAAAGAGATGTTCTAAATATATACATTATCCAATTATTTTAATAATTTTTTAAATATTAGAACGAATACTTCTATTAATCGAGCTTAGAGTTTTATGACATCTTTTAGCAAGGTTATCTTATGCTCAGCCTATTACGCTAATAATCCAGTCATAAACATATAACTGGCGTGGATGATTCAGTTATATTTATACTATATCATATATATATATTTAGATTAGTTTGTAGAGTCCTTAATTCGTTGTACTGAGTGTTTCTAAGTTAATATAAAAAAAATGTACTCCTGCTACAGTGACTTTTTCAGGAAGTGAGTGGTTTGTGTCTCATATGATCGCATGTCAATTTAGGATACTTTGCAAAATCTTATTTTTTGCTTCCGTTAGATGTTTCTAAGTTCTTATTAAAAAAAATTATACTGCTATCAGTGAGTGAACCCCATGTACTAACTAAAAGTTTAACTTACTTTTACAGATTATTTTAGTTATTAAAAAAATTTTTTAATTTTCTTACGCTCTTTGTTTTATATAAATTATAAAAAACAACAATTTTTTTATCATTTCAATAGATGTTGAAACTGACGTTGCTTACGGGAATATCACTTTTATGTTGGCAATTTTCCTCTATTATATTTGCTACACAAATTATTATAATGATGACACCATGGAGTTTTAGTTCTATCGACAATTCTGTATCTTGTTCTTTTACATTTTTTTATGCGCTCTCACAACTTTTTGGCAACGTTTTAGCCTATTACTATTCCAGTTATAGTTCGAAATTTATTTATAGTTGGCAGATTGGACCTGCAATTAGTTTACTAATAATCAGTCTTACAAGAGCACGACAAGAGGATGTGTCATTTTCACTTAAAAGTATTGGAATGGGTATATTATTAGCATTCAGTGGACAAGGTACTACAATAAATATATTGGAAAAAGCCGGCATCTCACGTTCTATTGACAACACATATGCCATATATCGTGATCTTATACTAAACTGGCTTCTTCAAGCCAAAGTCAATTTTTCCACAAGTCTTGCTGCTTGCAATCCTGATTTGAAACGCATGGATTGGCTCGATTTATGGGAATTAGTTAAAACACTTATTGTAAAACCATATTGTCTTTATGGTGTAGTAATGCTAGCCAAATTCTTTCGTAAATGGCGCAAAAAGAATGAACAAAAAACTCCGAGTAACGATCATGTAGAACGAGCCAAGAATTATGTGCTTGAAGATTTTTTGGAAGAAAATCATATATCGATGAATGACATGACCAACAAAGCAACGGAAAATGATCTCAATGAATGCTTTAAATTGTTAGAAGAATGTGATTTTGATTACGAACGTTATAAAATTAAAAAATCTGAAATAAATAATAAACAAAGTGATGAGCATATAGAGTTTATGAATGATATTAAGAAGCTCAGGGAACAAATACATGAACTGCAGGATAAGGAGCAGAAGACAAAGCAATTGACTGCACAGCCAATAACTGTGGACAAACAAACTTCTACCACCTCAGATACGAAACCAAAACCGTCCAAAAATGTCAAAACACAAACAAATCTCACTGGTAGTTGTAGTACAAAACGTGTAAAATCAAATAAAAATACTGCTAAACGTTCTAGTACGAGTAATAGATCACCGAATCGTGTAGATATGCGAGAAGTTGATGGCAATACAACTACTGGTGCAGCTATTATACAAAATGACTTTTTAAGCTTTCACTATGTATATAGCTTCGTACAAATGATCGTCTTCACCTTAATTGGTTTAAGCATTAAGAAACTATTTTTCCTATGTTTTACTCAAGGTTGTGTTATAACCCCAACAATATGTTCCAAATTTTGGTATCGAAAGCAAAGAAACATATTTTGGACTGTCTCATTGGCGGTATTTCTGACAAGTTTACTTGATCCAGGCTTAGTGGTGAGTTTATGATATATACTATTAATTAATTTTAATTGATTTTATTGTTTTTCAAATAAAATTTTAATTATTTTTATTTGTTTAGAATGTTCGTGAAGAATATTTCCCGAAACGCGTAACAAATTCCAACGATGACGTCGAAACTATGTTAGAATGGATTAAATTGAATACAGAACGAACAGCTGTATTCGCTGGTAAGTCCATGATCTTAACTTAATAACATTTATTTTATAATACAGTAATATCTTGTAGGACCTGTTGATATTATTGGAACAGTATACTTGACAACGAAACGACCTATTGTTAACCATGCACATTTAGAAATGCGACAAATAAGGTATATTTATTTTAAAAAATATTTTTATTTATTAAATGTTTAAGCGAACTATTTTTTTTATTAATTTGTTTTATATAGCGATCGAACAGAACACGTTTACTCTATATTTAGTCGGCAACAATCATCGGATATTTATAATCAATGCTCTCAATTAAAAATACAATACGTAATAATAACTTTAAAAGATTGCACAAATGAAATTAGGTAAGTATATTTCATATGCTTCTAATTTAAATTATATAATTTAATACACCAAATATATTTTTTGTAAGAGTAAACTTCCGCCCATCTTATCGCCACGTTCTCTGCGATTGGCAGGAAATGAGTAAAGTACCTTTAATCGCCTTTCATTGACGATATTCACGCTATCAGTAATTTGACGCTTGAAATTAGTTTCTAATATAAGAGAGGGGGGGGTAGAGTGTGATTTTACCACTTCAATATACTTGCAACGGAATTTACTCCGTTTCTTCAGCTTAATACACATACATATACCATATCATTTTTTTGTCAACAAGCATTATATATCTATGTACTACTACTACAAACGTTTTTAACGCGATAACACAAAATGAAACCAATTTTAAGCTTCAATTTCGACGACAGTGTAAACGCAACTGAAAACATTTTTAATCGTAGACTGAATAGAATCGAATGTGGGAACTAAAACCAACTGATATTATTAGGTGCGTCAATAGTCTTCATTTGTTTACTTTAATTAAGGAGACTGAATACCCTGAATACTATTATGTATACGGCCCATGATAATTAAATTTGCGATTGTATTCTATTGATCTAAAATCTTGAAACAAGAAACTTTTTTTCTTCTCCGGTCTTTATATTTTAGAATTTTGTCTTTAAATGATTGATTTTAGAGTGTATCGTTTTCTAAATAGTCAAGTGTTACATTATTACCTCCTTATTAAATTAAGAGCATTACGTTCGTGCCGGCAGCAGTAGGATCTGTCTTGGAGCTATTCATCTTTTCCGTCAAGTAGCTCTCGCTTTTTTCAACAAAGAGAAGAGCTAAAACAACAATGTAAACTTCATCTAACAATTTTTTGAATTATATCAAAAGACTAAAAATGATTTAAATATTTCAATAAGTTAAGTCAACTTAAATGGGGTTGATTTCTGGGGTTGCTTTCTGAACTTAATCTATGATGTCATACATCTAGCTGTACCGTCTTAAAAAATTGTCTTCCTTTTTAAAGTACTTTAAAGCTTGTGGTATTATTTTTTATTATTTGTGTAGCCTGTTTTTATTGTGCGTCAATAATATATTTTGATAGTTTAACGCCCATTCATTGTCGCAACAGATAATGACTATCTATATAATATCTATATAAATATAAACTATATAATGATCATTTTACTGATAATATTGCTGTATAATAGTTATTATAATCTGTTTCTGTTGCTATCTTAGTAATGTATTTAATTAAAGCATATATCCAATTAATTTAATGGAACAAAAAGATTCCCAAAGAATGTTTCCCACATCCTAGAGATCCTATAGCTCTATAAGCTTACGCTACTTACTTTACGTCTTTTCCACTGTATCTACTCATCATGTACTTTGTTTTGTTTGATTTAGAGCATAAAATATTTATGTAAGTTGGGTTGATCTGGCCGACCATAAGCCATACACATGGACCTATTTATCCCTATCATATAATATATACTATATATATATTGCGTATTATATTTTTTATAAATAAATAATTATAAAATAATTATAAATAATAATTATATTAATTTAAGAATATAATATAAAATAAAGAAATTAAAAAGACATTTATTCTCCTTCCTTTTTCCTGGTCTTATTTTATATCAGATCGACACAGTTTTTTTTTTATAAAATAACGTTGCTTGTTTTTAAATTATTTATAGAGATGATTGTGATATATTATCACTTTGGGACGATATGCAGCCGGCATATCGTAAATATCCACAGTTTTGTTCAGAATTAATAAATAAAAATGTTCCGAGCTTCCTGAAGGTATTCTCCAACAATCATTATGCCATCATAAAAATGTTCTCGCAAAGTGTACAAATAAATCTAAAATACAGTAGAATGCCAGAGAAGTCTATTTGAGATTCAATCAATTAGATATATAAAAAATATATATTTTTTCTTATATATTTTTTTATATATAAATTTCTTATAAAATTAAACAATTTCATTTATACATTATTATATATCATAAATTGAATGAAATATGTATGACTTTAATAATATTTTTGTGTCAATATTTTTTGCAATAAAATATATATTTTTTAAAGACCTATTATAATAAGTAAACATTAATTTATGATATTGTTTATATATTTAAGTTTAAAAATTATCATTCAAAATATATTAAAAATTTAATTCATTTAAAATGAATATAATGAAATAAATTTTATTAGTGGCTTACCTAAAATTTTTATCTAATATTACAATACAAAATATCATAAAAATATAAAAATAATGACAACAAATATTTATATATATATATATATATGTGTATGATAAAATATGTTATAAAATTATGTTATATTATATAAAATAGAAATGACTTTATTGACAGTAATTTACTTTCATTTATTTTGCTTTTAATAATAATTTTACATACATCAATATCTACTATTTTATATAAACTTAAATTTTAATTAACAATAATGTATTTTTATTATATAGTAAAAGATTTCTGTTCGAAAATAAAAAATATTTAATACTTATAATAATAATGCTTTAAGCAAAATTAAATTTTTTTGTAAGAAATAAAAAAAGTACATAGACTGCCGTTACACAAATGAACGCATTCCCCTAAAATATTTAAGAAAAACAATTTGTAAAAATAAATAATAATAATAAATTTATTAATTAATTTTATTTTAAAAATTTTTGTAAAATAAAATTATAAATTTGCAGTCTTCAAAATTCATAAACATTAATTAATATATATAAATTGATATATATATATATAATATTATTAAAAATAATAAATAATAGCGAAATTATATATTTTTTGTTATTAAATTTATATAAAAGAAAAAATGTGTTATATGCTTTAAAATAAAATGATAGTATTTTTTGCAATATTCTTAAAGAATATAAAACTAATTATTAAGAAATGAAAAATCAATTAGTTTAGTTTAAATAATTATGTAAATAAAATTAAAAAATGTATTGAGTCAATATTTTGAACTGTTTACGAAGTTTTAAATTAAAAAATTAAAATATTTAAAATTATAAATAAATCTTAGCTTTCTTGCACTTTGTACAGAGTCATATGTGTTTTCTTTTCTATTTATTGTTTTTTTTTTTTTTGGAGAAAAATATACAGCAGCGATATAATATATAAGTCGTTCTTAGATACCTTGTAATTAATGATCTATTTTGTAAACCATAAAAATAATTAAAGAAAAAAAATCCAGCACTATTCCGATTTACCGGGTAGGTCGATTTGACAACGGATTTCAGTAGTCTCTGCTATTGTGTGAAACATCTTTCTTCGCTCTTTGCGCTTTAAAGAATATATTTTTTTAAGGATGCATAAAAGTTTTTATCAAAAAGATTTGGAAGAAGAATATAACATACTTCCTAAGTTTTAATAAAAGTCCTCTATAATTTGAACAAAATCTGATAGGACGCCTATTAAAATATTATCAATTCACAAAGCCAAGTTGGCAGATGGTGCGGTTACCCTAAAAGTGTGTCTAAAGTAATATATCATGGTATAGTATGCTATAGATGGTTCCCGGTAACACCGGTGATATTGTCCTTTCTTATTTTAGAATGTTTGATTCTCTACAATATAAGTTATTTTTATATATATAATTTTTCAGTATCGTAAGGAATTTTCCTGGTTTCATCGGCTATAGTATCCCTTCTTATTCTAGAGCATTTGATTTTCAATAATAATAGTTTTTCTATTTATAACTAATATAATTATATTTTTTATTTTTATTTTGTAGTTTATTATAATACAATAATAATTATTGTAAATAAAACAAAATTTTGTCGGTTTTTTTGGTAAAAATTTTATTTATAAGTTTTGTTTTTTTTTTATTTATTTGCGTTATACACAAAAAGCCTAAAAGCTTTAAGTATCTCTACAACATTTTAGCTTCATTTTATTTTATTTTTGGTTTTAATATTTGTATAAAAAATATATTATGAAAATAAAATAAAATAAGAACAAATTTTTAATAAAATTTAAACTAAATGTCGAAATAGCTAAATGACATAATTATTGAAAGAAGCTAAAACAATTTCATTTAATTATTTCAATTAATAAAAATAAATTAATTTATTATGTATTAGCATTTATAAAAATGTTTCACTTGTATTTTTAACAATTATTAACCTTTTTTAATTTTGTATAAATTAAATAAATTTTTTCAGCAAATCTAAATAATTATTTTGTATTTAAAAACAACTACAGTCTTTGTTTTTTTTTTTAATTTAAATAATAAAATTTAATGTATGTATTTAATATTTTCAACATATTGTTTTGTTTTTATTTTCATAATTGAGTTTTAAAAATTTTTATATTTTTTATATATACATTTTATTTCATTTTGTATTTTTTACAATTTGAATATAACAATTTGTTATTTTAAATATTTGTGTTGTTTTGATTAATTTCGATTTTTACAATTTAATTGTTTATATGCGTTTGTGGAAGCAATTTATTGTAATTATTTAATAGTTTTCTATTTTTTCATATTCTACATATTTAAAAATAATTTTTAATCACCTTTTAATTGTAATTGTATATATTCGCATATAAAAATAAAACTGCCTAAAAGCCAAATAATTTATTTATTAATTTTTTCTGTTAAAAAACTAATTAACAATGCTAAAATTATTATATCTTAACGATTTCGCAATTAACAAATTTAATAAAATTTAATTCATTAATAATTTAATAACTTTTTAATATAAAAAACTTTTTTTCGTCTAAAATATTGGTGCGGACTACCGTGCAAAATAATTGCATAAAAATTTGTTTTATTTTTAATTTATTTCTAATTAACTAATTAAATATTATATTTTAAGCACTTGAATTTTTAGTTTTTAATTAAAAATTTATTTATTTAGCAACTATTTTTGAAAAAAAATTATTAAAACTAATTTTATATATTTAATATATGTATTAATTTTCTTTTGCGAATAATTAAATTATAATATTAAATATTATGTAGTAAATATACATATGTAATATATTATAATATATAAAAAAATTAAATATTGCGTAAAAGATATATGGGAGTATAAAATAAAATATAGACAAATATACTATAACATAATGTACCACTTTTAAAAGTCTTCAACTATATAAATAAAACTTAACGGGCTTAACCAAGTTGCAACTTTTTGTATTCTGGGTTTCTGGACAGAAGAATGAGAAAAATATTAGAAAAGATGACATACTTGCTGAACTGGAAGGACAGAATCGACTGCAGGATAATGATCGGTATGTTGAAAGAACAATCAATACCAGAGATATATAGATCTATAGATCAGTATAATGAAATGTTTTTCTTGACATTTCAGCAATTTTTGCCCTTTCTTTAAATATAAATTTATTTCAGCATTTTTATAGTAGCTTATTAAGCAAACCTATAACTTTGTTTAACATTGCCACAGATTATCAGTTAACAATTAACAATAAGGCAGTGAACACATTTATAGATATTAGGTTCAATATATTTAGATTTTCCTCGAATACACAACAGGTAAATTAATATCGGTGGCTATTGATGTAGCCATAAAGTAATTTTGATAAAAGCAATAATAAAATGGAACTATAACAACCTATAAAAAATTTATAATATTATAATTTATTACATATATGTTTACTACAATAAATTATAAAATACTGACTATTTATTATTATTACAATTCATATTTTGTCTAAATTTAATAATTTTATTGTTGTCTGTTTATTAAATAATTCTTTTGATTTCTTGGATTTGAGCGTCAGCATTTTTTTTCTAAATTTTTCTTTAAATTGAAATTTATCACAGCAATAATTAATATATTAAGTTACTCGATTTGTATATACATGTATATACTTAAGCACTTTGTTTTTATATAATACATATATGCTTATAATATTGATTAAACATATATAGCATATATGCATATATTTATATTTCAACTTATATAACATTTTATTTTTAAAAACGCGTATTTTAATTTTTTTAATTAAGGTTTTATTAAAAAAAGCTATTTAATTTTAAGTTTTTTATTTTTTAAATTAGCTATTTAAATATATTAAACAAAAAAATTTTTTAATAAATTTTTTAATAATTATTAAAAATAATAATAAAAATAGTTAATAAAAAAATTTATTAATTAAATAAATAAACACGATTGACTAGTTAACATATAATATTAAGATTATCACAACAGAATACAAAAAAAAAATTTTTAAAAATAGTTAAAATTTATATAAATATATATAGTATTAGTTTGGGTAAAACGTCTTGAGTTCTTTTTCATGAAATAATACAAACTTTATTATTTAAATCATATATACTCACTTCAACAAAAGCGACTCAAGTTTTTTTTTAGTAAACTAATATAAATAATATAAATTAAAATATAAAATTATGAAACTATACTACTAAAATTTTAATATATAAGCACTGAAAGTCCCTAATATTTGTGTTAACCAAATCTCAATTACAAATAATCGTAAAAAAATGAGCTTTAGGGAATCCGCACATAATTTTTTTAAATAAGTTGTGCGGTCACTTTTGTTTAAACCACACATCTAATTGCATCTTATTTAATTTAAACACAAATACTATTAAAGTACATACCTTGTTTAATTTAAAGATAAGTACTATTGATATTACTATCTCACCAGAATCCTACTATATTAATCTTTTAGAAGTTCTGTAACTCAGTATCAAGGCCGCATTGAACAAGAATTTCGTGTAGGACACGCAGTCGAATTATCGCATAGACAAAATGCCTAGGACATTGGTCTCCGGTTATACAGAAGGCTCAGTCAAACTCAAAATATTACTCATATTCAGCCTTATTTTATTTATTGCTTTACAATGTTGTGTGCTCTATTTTTTGTGAGAGAGGAAAGGAGACCGTTAAGAAGAAAATGTCTGGGGAACTGATGTATCGAACTTTACAAAGTGATATATAAATGCACAAACAAGATATAAACATTATTTAGAGAAACAACTTTTATAATTTTGTGTGCTCTATTTTTTGTTAGAGAGGAAAGGAGACCGTTAAGAAGAAAGTATCTGGGGCACTGATGCTTTATATGAGGCGTACGCCTCACAAGAAGGTAATTGCATTATTAAGGTTAGTATCGAACTTTACAAAGTGATATATAAATGCTCAATTAAAAGAAAAACATTATCTATAAAAAAAGTAATGAATACACCTCTCCGACAGCTTCTTCTGTGTGCCACATATGAGGGCAATGGAAATTTCTAAAGGCTTAAGTGAAACAGCTGTGATAGAATACATATGTTATATATAATTACCATATATATCTCCATCTATTTCTTGTATATTTACATCATCCGAAATGCCTCATTTTTAAAAAAATTTTATTGGACTAAAAGAAAACTTTGTTAGAATATTTTTAAACTTTTTCTACTTTAACATACCAAGTGCATTAGAAGCAGTCACTTTTACTTTTTATTTATTCTTAAATACTTATTAATTTTATTAATAAATTTCCTGCTAAAAATAATTTATTTATTACAAAAAAAAAAGAAAATATTTCGGCAGTGCTTTAAGTAATAAAATCAATTTTGAAATTAATTAAATTTAAAAATAAAAACTAATATAAAACTTTTTGAAGTATTTTTTTTTTTGCGAATTTTATTTAATTTATAAAAATTTGTTAAATTTCTTAAGCACTTTATTTATAATTTTTTAAAAATCTATGATTTTAAAAACCTTTCATATAACAAAAAGCTCGCTTATTTTTTATTAATTCTTTTTAATATAAATTTATTTTGATAATACGCATAACAAATCTGTTTAATTTACTTTCGCATAAAAGGCTTGTAATTGTTTCTCTTACAATTAATGTGTTTTATTTTTAAATATATATATAACAATTTATAAATTTTTACTAATATCAATATCATGTCGTGATTTTTTTTTTATTTTATATTAACAATATACGTCGAAAATTTAAAATCTCAGAAACAAATTAAATTCAAAATATAATGTATAGTTTTTTTGTGGTTGTACTCTCAAATACGTTTAATGGTGGGACCTGTAAAAAATACTGATACCTTTCGTTTGAATTTCTCCATTGTGGGCTCATGATCAGATTCGCTATCATAATCGTCACTGTCATCATCCTCACCGAAGATTATTGTACGTGTATATGGACCTGCCTGGCCACCGTTCGCTGTGGACTCGCAAAAGCCAGGGTTTAGTATAATGTTCGGTATTAGCTCAATGCTATCCCAGCCATCTTCAACTGCTTTATATATCAGAGAAGCCAAAGATTTAAGCAATTTTTTTTAAATGATTTAGTGAAAGATAAAAATAGAGAATATAGAAAATAAAAATAGGATAGTATAGCAATTTAGGTTTAGTTAATAGAAAATGATACACATTAAGATAATGGGATATAATTTGCATAGATAATATTTGTGGTATATGAAATTAAAAATGATTGCAAATATTTAAAAATATTTTTCAAAATTAAATTATTGATTTGACGGAATGGTTAATGATTGTCTTAATTTATTTTATTAGAAAATTAAATAACACCAAAGCGAAACAGCAGCAAAATTATATTTATGCAGCAAAATTCTTATTTATATACAACTAGGCAAAGTTCATTTTATTTTATTATAGTAAAATAATTTTATCATCATAGCTGTGCAAACCATAACACAATTGGCAATATATTTAATTAAAGATATTTAATATTTAATTAAAAATATATCTTTTTTAGTAATAAATTTTCTATAAGATTTAACTTTTAAACAATCTATGAATTAAAGTTTGCACACAACGTATAGAAATTATATACATAACGAGCAGATCTTAAATATATAGTGTATAGTGAAGTATATAGTGAAATTATAGTGAATTGATTAAAAAAAATTTTAAAAAAATAAATAAGCTAAAAATTGTGAACGATATTATTATAACAACAACAACAACAATATACTAAACAGCAACAACATACCATACGATGGATTAAAGAAACGGATTCAGCGAGAATATGTTAAAATAAAAGGAGATATATAAATAAAATCTATAAACTTATATATACTTTTTCAATACCAAAACACATCTTAACTTTATTCTCATATAGTATATTTTACGAAAAAAATAATTTAAAAATAAGTAAACACTTGAGATTTTGAAAATAAGTAAATACAATAAAAATTACAATTAACTGACATTATAGTCAGGGCCTTGAAGTGAATTTTTTTTCAATCTGGTTTTTATTTTAGTTTAATTTAAAAAAATATATCGGATCGGTTCCGGTACCGGTTTTTGTTTCTGTAACTATATCATTTTTATGAGCCATAAGCTTATTGAAAATCAAACTTAAAAAAAATTATAATTATGATTATAAATTAAATAAAAAGTAGCATTTTATATTATTTACCTCCAGCTCAAAAAGTACAAAAAGGATTTTGTAAATAAAACACACAAATTAAAATTTTATTCCAAATTTATTTTATCTCCATCAAAATATGCTCCTTCTGAAGCGATACACATATGTCAACGCTTAACCCAATCTTCCACAAAACTTTTCCGAGGCCCGTGAAGGTATGGCTTTTAGTTCTTTCAGCGAATTCTCTTTTACCGACTCAATCGACTCAAAACGCTTACAACGAAGGGGCAATTTGAGTTTCGGGAACAGGAAAAAATCGCACGACGCCAGATCTACCGAATATGGTGCCTGAGCGATGACAGTGGTGCCGTGTTTGGTCAAAAAATCGCGTACAATAAGAATTTTCCATAGTAAAAATCGCTAAATGCACTTGAGGTAGTCTCACATAAACAGCTGCTTTAAACAAACGAATTGACAGATGGCGCTCAAATTTGTACCATATATCAAGAAAGGGTGTACCAACATAATAAAAATTTTTAAAAAAGGTCTATTACTTAAGGAGTAGTTAACAAACAACAAAATCCGGATACTTTTTGAGCAAAAGGTATGATTTAAAATATATATTTAAAATATTTTATATATTATAAATACATATTTATAATAAATACATAAATATTTATAAGTATACAATAGTAATATATTATTTATTGTAAATAAATAATATAAAAATAAAATAATATAATATTATAAATAATATATAATGAAAATTGAAACATACATATGAAACATACATATTGTAAATATGTATGTTTTATATTAAATATATACGCAATATATAAATGTATAATACAATATATATATATTTAATCCTTTAACTCCTAAGAGGAGCATAGGGCCGCATATAATAATATAATATATCATATATAATATATATATATAATATATATATATAGTATATATATAGTATATATATATATAGTATATATAGTATATAAATATATAATATATAAGTATATATGAAATATACATTATATGTAATATTCTATAGTTTAAATTGTTATATATTAAATGATATAATCTGCTCGTTATATTATTAAACAATAGCAACGTTTCAGACTGTGATATTATCAAGCATACGATATGAATCTGATATTCTTCAACTTTTTGCACAACATATATATACATACCATCTAAATATATATACAAAAACTAAAGTGCACTAATTGTTTTTAATTAATATTTTATTTAATTAATATATACACAATAAATTGTATATTACACATCGATTACTTAAACACATTTCTCAAAAATTAAAATAAACAATTCAATAAATAAATATTTTTATACTAAATAATACAAAATGGGAAGCAATAATGATAGGGATCCAAAAAAGGTACGTTTGATTCACCCTAAATAATATGTAAAGTTAAATACGATAGATCGATGGCTAAGGCACAGGCATATGTATTTACAGGGACTTAAGTGCGTATATTGAAACCAGATTCCTAATTTGCTCCATTTTTTGGTAACAATAGAATAATAAATAGTGAGAACTGAATTATTATTTCATTTGAAAATTATTCATTTGAAAAGTCAGTTTTGGCCCTTTTCATATTCACGCAGACAACAGTTATCTCTTGTCAATAGAATCTTATTGGGACGCTCCCTAAAGATACCAGTGTTATGGCGGGATTACTGATGAGTAATTTTTGTTTAGAAAATCATGAAGATTACAAACTTCCTTCAAATATCAAAAGGATATTTACAAAGTAATGTAGTCATATTTAATAATTAATTATATATATAAATTCAAACATTTGAGCAATTTTCAATTTACTATAAAGTATTCTTAATCTAAAAACAAATTGAAGCTTCTGAGTGCTCAACACTTAATCTTTCTACACGTACATTATATAAGCTATATAATCTCATCCGTTACCTAGTCTTTCCGTTCTTCCTAATCTTTATGATGATAACTATATAAACTAAAAAAGCTTTTAAAATAATTGTCATTTAAATAAATCATTCGATTTAACTTACTAAGTAACTATTACTTTGATATGGAAAGTACCATATCGACAGAATTACGCCCTCAATTTGGTTACAGAGATTTTTCTAGCGTTCGTTATGCTTCTTCGACTATGCTATTAGTCGATATAAATCAGAATATCGATCGGGATATCGAGTTTTAAAGTTGCAAATTTTTACATAAAACAATTAGACGCGTTTGAATTACAAATTTGAGAGCAATATCTCTGGAACTAGTGCATACCGACATATAGAATAGTGAAAAAAACTGCTTAAAATAGAGAACTTCACAAAAATTAGTCGCCAATTTGCTGCGTCCAGGATATCGTAATCGAACTACTACTACTACTACTATACTACATAAACCTAAATTTATATGGTATATATATTTACAAAACCACTTTCCAGTTTGTAGGATCGAAAAAATACATATATGTATTGATTAGTTAACTTTATGAATAAAAGGATTCTCGGAGAAAAGTAACTTCTATTGGGTGTAATAAGTTTAAGTAGATTCAAAAATGTAATATGTAAAACTATGAGACAAACAATTATTAATATATGAAACCTTATATATCTTACCTTATGTCTCAATAATAATTTCAGTCTAAGACTAGTCCATATTGAATAATAAAAAATGTTTTGATATATATAATAAAATGGCGCAAAATAATTATGTTTAAGTTATAAATTGCAAATAAATATATTGCAATAATAATAATTTTATAAAACATATATTACATCGAATTGCAATTTAACAGTTTTGTATAAAAGATAATGAAAAATAAAACGAAATATTTTTTAAAAAAAAATTTATAAAATAAATTTTATTTTTTTTACAATTTGACAATTCAACAACATCAATAAAAAATGCATTTAATTTTACAGCAAAATAAAATAAATATTTAATAACACAATAAGCAAAAAATAAAAATTTATTAACACAACATTGAAACATAACTATATATATATATATAAATATATATTTTTATAATATATATATATTTTTTATATAGTATTTAAGCAACTACAACAACAACAACATCCAACTTGCAACCATCATTTTCAGTGTTTTTAGTCTCTGTTTTAACAATTCGTGATTTTGTTTTTGTTAATAAATTGAAATTAAATTTTAATTTATTTTCAGTACCCATTTCCGTTGATTGATAACATTCTTTTGTTAAAACTATACACAATCCAACCGCTAATATCACAAGAGTTCCAAGTACTACACTGACGGCGACTATCCATATACGAGGATCAAAATTATCTAAATCGGGTTGTATCAGGCGAATTAAATCTAAGAAATAAAATATTTACGGAAAAAAGTAAGATAAACATATAAACACAGATTTAAGTTTTAATAATTAAATAATTAATAATTAAATTATATCAACGAACAACAACAAATTGAACTTATACATTTTACACATTGAAATACGAATATCGATACTAATAAAATTAAACTAGGCAATATGTTAAGTTAGGAAGGTAATATTAAAAATTAATCAATTTTTATTAATACTAAAAAAAAATTAATGGGAATTTTATATGATATTAAAATTATATGCGTTTTAGTGCTTAACTCTATGAAAATAGATTCTTTGATGTGGTCAGTATCAGTTTGTGATGTGAGTATCACAAAAGTATATGATAAAGTTTCACACAATTTAGTCTTGAAGTTCTTAGATTAAATTAGATTTTTCCGATACTAAATTAAAAAACTTATATTCAAATGTTCTCGGATTTAAAAACTAAAACATATATTAAACATTTTAAGAGAAATTGATTAAAAATTATGTTACATAAAAAAACTTTAAATTATTATTATATTTAGACAATTGAATTTTTGAATGACTATAGAGCTGTTTCGAGTATTACCAAATAACCATTATAAGTATTATATAATTATAATTATAATTTTAATTATATAACTATATAATACTATATAATTATAATTATTTTTTATATATAATTATTCGTAAATAGTTTTTCGAGATTGTAAGTACCAAGTGTTGAACTTGTACCCTGCCAAATTTGAAGCTCAGAGTCAGTACTCAGTAGCCAACTGATCAATACTCGAAGCAGCTTAAGTCAAACAGGTTAAAGTGGTTAGCCAAAAATTCAATTTATTAAATAAAATAAAATTTTGTTGTTGTAATTTATTACTGTTCGAAAAAGCTCTCTATTAAATACAATAGTTTCTATTAAGTATAGTAAATAGTCACTTTCGTCATCAATTGAAATATATTGAAAATATATTTCAGAAATTAAATTATTTAAAAAAAATTTTTATTTTATTTTTTTTTGTAAATTGGGAAATCTTTATAAATCTACTGTTTGTCCAGTTTCGAAAAAATCTTCAAAAAATATAAAGCATTTATTATTTTTGTTTTTTATTATTTCTTTTTAAATGTTTTTATATTTTATATTTTTAATGTTTTTATACAGTGTTTCTCTCAAACGTGAACACTGGCTTACGTATATGCTGGATTAAATTTTCATTTCTTCTGTTTATTTACTATTCCGGTAGTATTAACAAGAACAAAATTACTGGATATTTACTAATCCAGAAATAATAATAAATTTTATTGAAGAGCAAAAGTTTTTACAGTTTGGAAATATATATTTGGGATATTTAAACATCTCTTGGAAAATATATGGATGCCAAATCCTTAACTATAATTTAGGACGTTAAATAATTGGAATATATATATTATATTAACAAACTTCACTAGTTGTGTGACCATAGAGTTATGCTATTGTCAGGAAGATTGCAAAAGACATTTGTCCAGAATAAAAAAGGGACCCCGTTTTACCAAGATTATATGCGAGATCTTATTTAAATGTAGTAAGTCTTCAAAAATATTTGTAGTTTGGATGTGATGTCTTGCACACATCCACTAGTTTGACTTATTTGACTAATCATCCTTTCCGATCTCCATAATTTGTTTTAAACGACAAAAACTTTAATTCTTAAATAAGGATATTAAGAGCCACTTGGGTTAATTTTTCTCATGCTACTACTAGAAAAATGAGAAAGATATTGGTCGAAAAAAAGAAAAATAGGAATATATGATTCAATAAAACATTTATAATTATATTTTGATGTAACTGTTTTTAACTTTTATCAAAAAAAAAAACCAAATTACTTTTTGAAGAATCCAATATATAGCATTTTATCAACTAATTCATTTATTTGTCTGTTGCGAAGGCAATTAATAATAAATTATTACCGAAGGAAGAGTTTATACTAGTTTTATATTATAAAAATTTGTTCTTTTTTAGATTTTTTCTACTGAAAATTTTTTTTATTTATTAAATAGTTTCAGTTTTAAATTTTAAATTTAATTATTTATAAAAAAATCTAGAGAACTTTTAGGAACCTTTTTTTAAATTTTTTTATTTAAAATTAAAAAATTTTTTTTTTAATAAAAATTTCTAATTAAAGTGTCGGTTAAAAATGAACTTTTCATCCTTTCTGACATAAGCACAAAAGTTGCACTGCACTCTCTAAACTGCACAATAAAAAATTGTGTTAATGAGCATGAGTGAAATTCCCGGGTTTAGAGTAGAGTCAAAATGCTTATTTAGTTGACATTGATGGTGAAACGTTTACACAGACCACACCTGTACTCGGTAAAGCACACAAGTTGACTTACTCCACATCATCGCACATAAGTTAGTAGATTAAAAGAGGTCGAATGCCATTTTCACTCACCTTCTTCCTTGGTTTCTGGTAGCGTTGTTACATTGGTTGTTACCACTTCACCGCTTCCCAATACATTGTTTGCCCATATTCGAAATTCATAGGTGGTGTTGGGTTCAAGATGATACACTTCCATTTGACGCTAGTCAGATGACAGTCAAGTAATGAAAGTTTGCAATATTAATTGTACATAAAAAAAAGAAGAAAAGAATAGGGATTAATACAACAGCTTGCTCCGTCTGTTGGGGTATCGATAAAGAGGAGTATATAGGGTTTGGCAAATTTTGAAAATTTTACAATATAATTTTTTATAGTTTTAACGCATATTAATTTAAAATAAGGTTTATTTAAATTATTATTGCAATCTTTGCGGAGTACAAATTTTTATTTAAATAAAAGTTGAATGCTTATAAAAACAGTAACAGTTGGGAAATAAAGAACGAATAAAATTAGTGCGAAATTATAAATATATTCAGAATATTTTAATATTTAATTTAATAACACAATCTGTATAATGAAATTATAAGAGGTTTATTTTAGACAAATTAAAATATTTACTTATAAGCATGAATTAAAATTAATAAAAAAACACAAAAAATATATTATGTTGATATATTTATACAGGATGGTTCCAGCAGAAAAGTAAGATAAATTTTATATATATATAATAATGGTCTTCATAAGTTCATTTCGGAAACATAATGATTTATATGATATATGACCTTTGATTGACACTCTGCACCTCGGTTATTATTTAAAATGCACCCACCCTCCTTTTTATACTATATTTTACCTTCTCAAAGTAAGCAATTATCATCCGTATTTATGCTGTTTATGTCTAAAACAGTTTATATATCGGTAACGGTATGTATTTGTATTTTAGGTCCCAATCAGGTATATTTTGCACAATTGCTCAAGTCAACATATATGGCATAAAACTGTGACATCTCTATGGGCTACTTCTACTACTTCTATGATCTTACTTCTCAGGGCTTAAGTGAACTACTTTCCTGCAAGACGAAATGCCACATTATCTTCTGTCTAACGTTTAGGTAAGAAAACTATAGAAGTCTGATAAATTATCTTCTCAAATAAAAATTCAATTTCATTATTTTTCTTAAGTCGGTGATACACTGAAGTCATGGGTTGTAGCCACGGTTATAAGTCTACAATAGCAACAGATCAACAATTGAAAATTTAAAAACTGGTGTCCAGACCTGCTAAGTTCAATTGAAAACTGGAGGTCTGCATACCAAATTAAATTATAATATACCCGCCATAATGAAAAGCGTCAGTAATTCTGTATGGATAATTTGATCAAATATACTATAAATACCACATATGAGTTTAGAAGAAAGATGTCAATGATGTATGTGATGCATGTTCCACGCTACCTCCAAAATAATTTCAATGTTGGCTTTCATAACAAGCAATTAAGAATGTATTCGATATTGTTTGGCTTGCGAGCTCGCCTTGAGACTATAAAAACTTTGTTTTGGGAGTCTGATCCTTCTTGGTCGCGGCTTTAATTCCCTTTATTTGAATTCAATTTCCTTCATCTTTGTATTAATTATGAACGCAAGTCTTGTAGTAAACAATTTTTTAATTCTTTGGTCCATGCAAAGTCTAAAATTATTCACATCGACAGATACCTACCTGCGGTTGAAACTCACTAGTCACGTGACTTTCCTCCTGACTTTCATTTTACTAGCATCATTCTCTTTGATTTAATTTTGGCTACAGGATACAAGTTCTCCTGATATTTTTAACTCTACTTCTATGAGGTATAATCTGTTAGTTTCATCAACCTTCTTTATAACAGCGATTTTTGTGACCCCGATAATAGTGTTTATACCTAATGGCCTCCTTCTGATTATCACAATCACACCAATTCGTTTACTAGTTTAAGCTTATTCATTTATACTGTCATCTAACTATCAATTTAATTTCCTCCTGTTATCATCTTCGACATTTTTAACTACCTAGGTAGTGTGATATCCGCAAAAGATAGTAGAAAAAAAGATATCCTGACCAGAATTAACAAGGCAACGAGCGCATACTCACAGTTACGTCAAATATGGAACTCAGCGAAAATATTCTTCTCCTCAAAAATGAGAAGAACATGAGTCAAACGTGATCTCAGCATTGCTCTATGGATGTGAGACCTGGCTTGTAACCGACTTTCTTACTGAAAAAATTTAAAATTTTGTCAACAGATCTCTTCGACAAAATTCGGTGTGGTGGCCAAATGTCATCAGTAACTTCGAACTTATATGTTCGAATTATATGTTTGAATTGGAACCAATGATTGATTACATAAAACTACGAAAATGGCGGTGGCTAGGTCACACATTGCGAAAGGATGCTACAGAAATTTGTCGACAAGTTCTTGTTAGGAACCAGATACTTGAATAAAGTTTTCAGTACTCTAATTTTCACAATCCAACGGAACAATATTCATTACGCATTCTTAAGACGTGGGTTTAAGTGGTTCAAGTCTCATACGGTGTCTTTGATGCTTTTAACCTACTGGAAAAAATCCGCTTACGAGAACTTTTTGAGCAAGGGAATACTTTCTAAATTTTAATGTAAAAATAATATTTTTTTTATTGCTTACAAAATTACAATGAAATAAGTAAATACGAATAAATTAAATATCTTAAGTGCACATCGTTTAAAACACAAATGCCTGATGTTTTTTTTTGGTTAGAAGATACATCGTCATACAAGCCTCCTACTAATGCACTTAATGTTTTTCCATGGGGTTTACATTTACATCACAAAACATAATAAAATAAAAATATATGGGGAAAATAATATACGAGTATATTTACAACGTTTTGAATAGGCTTCGTAAATAATTGCATTGCAAAAAAAGCAATTGAAATTTTTCGCTGTGGATTATTTGCTTTTCGAGAGCAATTAATATTCAGAGAAGCAAAATAAATATGTACGGGTTCGTCTATTTGCTGTCAATAGAGATACATTTCATCAAAATTAAATTTCTATTTAATCTGTCTTGTAAATTGTTAAACGTAAATTGGGCTCAATAGTTTATTGCGATAAATTGGCAGCATCCGCAGCATGGAAGCTTGAATGATGCCAGCGCTGGACTAGCACAATTGAAAATTGGAAATTGATTTGAATTTTATGGTCGTTATGCGCTGCTCTATGGATTCTATTGGCTCTATGGGCGCACAGGGAAGGGCGCAATTTTTTCGTATTGAAAATAATTTTAATGGAATTAAGTTGTTTATTGAAAATTGCTGCTATTTTAAAAGGCACACAATGAGAAGTTATGGAAAATTAAATATTGTTTTTATTATTCGAACAAGTCAACACGCACAATCGATGCGTTACTCGAGCTCCAATTTCGTTTATGGACTTTAAAGTCATTTGCAAAAATTTATAATAAAAGTTTTTCAATTGACTTTTACGACTTAATAAATTTAAATGCATTTCAACATTTTAAATGCTGTTTCACTTTAACAGATAATTTAATCAATGTGAAAACTGGGAATCAGAATCAATTTTAAGTGCACATCCAATAGGGCAAACCATTCAGCCGTTACGAATATAACCATATATTCATCTTCAACGGTCTTTCGCAATATTGGTTGTTGGTTGTAATAGTATCAAAGACCACTGAAACGGAATATAGAATAGTTAATGTTGAATTTCAATCAATTAAAAATTAAATTTTTATAGTTCAATATGCACTCCTTTTTATTTAAAAAGAGTTTCTTTGGGTATTTGACTTAACATAAATATTCTAGAAAAAAAAATCGTATAAATTTAGAAAAGTTCTTAAAATAAATCAAATAAACTAAATAACGATATTTAAAATAATCAAAATAAAATCTTAAATTTTACAAAGTGCTGAGAATAACTGCAGCTAACTAAAATGTATCCTCCGTATTGCACGTCATCTGTTGACATCAGGTTCAACGGCCCCCGAAGAAAATATACAACACCCATGATGTCACTGTGTAGATTTATCCTTTCAGTTAGTCTTCAATATCGTCAACAATAAAATAAGTCAAATTTTCCGGTTTATTATAAAATACCGGACTTCATTTGCAACATTGTGAGGAATATAGAATCAAAAAGACTTTCTAGTTAATTGAAAAGGTTTGAGTATATTCTAAAAATCAATTAAATCAACTAATAACAACTTAAATTTGAATTTATTATATATAGATGTAATGTTGCATTTTTTATATCATTAACTTAGTTGTGAGTAAATAACGTAATAATGTTCAAATTCAAAACAATAGTATCCCGGTAAAACAGACAGCGCAACCAGTGTAGAGAACACTAGTCACAATACTACCATATAGGTTATATACGTACTATATACATTGTGACCGAAAAGTTTTCGGGAAATTTTAAATAAAACGCAAAATTCTTAACCTTCATCAATATTTATTTTATCTCCTTCAAAATATGCTCCATTAGAAGCGATACACAAATGCCAACGTTTCTTCCAATCATCAAAACATTTTTTATAGGCGCTTTCCGGTATGGCTTTGAGTTCCCTCTGCGAATTCTGTTTTACGTCTTCTATGGATTCAAAACGCGTTCCTCTGAGTGGTAATTTGAGGTTGGGAAACAGGAAAAAGTCACACGGTGCAAGATCAGGTGAATACGGTGGCTGTTCGATGGTATTTATTGAATGTTTGGCCTTAAAATCGTTGATAATGTTGAACAAATTGAGGTGAATCGGAACAAGCCGGGCGTTGACACGTCGCATACACAAATTGTCCACCAAAATCAAACGAGCCATCTCACGACCGATGCCTAGCTCTCGTGCTATCTCTCTAACACTCACATGAGGATTTTTGAACACGATTTCCTTTGCCTTTTCAATGTTTTCGTCGGTGGTAGAGGTCGAAGGTCGTCCAGAACGCGGCATGTCTTCGACGGTCGTACGACAGTCCTGAAAGGCTTTGTACCACTCATAAACTTGAGTTTTCGATAAAACTGATTCCCCATAAGCCTTTTGTAGCATTCGCAACGATTCTGCACACGAAATTTCGTTCGAAAAACAAAATTTGATGCAAACTCTTTGTTCAATATTTTTTTCCATTGTTTTTTTCGCAACGCACTACTGAGGTGAACTGGTTTCAACAGCTGCCGTAAACGAACTGTCCGACAGATCGCGCTCATTTTTGGCATAGTAATTAAGGACAGTGCTGCCAAACTACATAAACTTAAAATATCGAAAAATATACAGCGCGCGAATTTTAAATGAGAATTTCCGAAAACCTTTCGGTCACAATGTATGCTCAGCATACATATATTATATGTTAATTATGAACTCATCAATGTTCATCAACTAATATTGATTAAATTACAATCACTCGCTACTGTAGTCGAATACTTTCACTATTGGCTAGTGAGTCCCAACCGATCTTGGTCCGCAAGATGGTTAAAAAATGGTCCGTTAATCTTATTTAATAGGTATGGATCGATATCTGATTGTTTAACCACTGAGACCTCACTTATTAGAAAATAAGCACAAAATTTTTTCAAAGAATAATATACCTATTCCATAGCCTATATAATGTACTAATGCATTTATATAATTTATTATATATTATACCAGAGATGCATAAACCATATTAAGATAATCATAGTTTATTATACTTAAACTTGGAGGTCCCTATTAAAAAAAAAATGTCTTGGTAAAAAAAGAGGTGTGAAGTCATTGCTATAGTCCAATTATATGGATTACGGTAACCAGCGACAGTAGCTAAATCTACATCAATATTATGGAACTGCATTTGCCTAACTTCATTTTTGATATTTCTAAGTACTGTATTAAAAAAATGCGATAACATCTCTGTTCCAATGAATATTTGAAGAGCGATTATTTGATTTGACCCATACAAAAAGTAAATGCAATTGAATTTACTTCTTGACTATATGAAAATGATTACAGTTGAGGCTAAGAAAAGAATTTACTTCTTGACTATAGGAAAATGAGTACAGTTGAGGCTAAGAAAAGAATTTACTTCTTGACTATTGGAAAATGAGTACAGTTGAGACTAAGAAAAGATGTAATCTTATTAGCAATCGGACAAGCAGTTTGAAATGAAACTCAACGCGGAACATCTCTGTAACACTATGGTAAATATTCAAAGAGCAATTATGTTTTACCTATATGAAAAGACCCAACTGAATTTGGCTATAGAAAAAGGTTATAGATGTGGCTAAGAAAAAGCTGATACCAATTGTAGTAGTACCTTTGATGATGAAAACTTAACGCGGAACATCTCTGTAACACTAAATATTCAAAGAGCAATTATGTTTGACCTATACGAAAAGATGAAACAGAATTTACTTCTTGGCTATAGAAAAAGGTTATAGATGTGACTAAGAAAAAGCTGATAGCAATCGCAGTAGCACCTTTAATGATGAAAATTCAACGCGAAACTCAATTTAATTTCGTATTTACATATATTTTGATTAATATATAATAACACCAACTTGTGGCGGATCACTGAGAGTTATATTGCGGAGAACTTAGTGCTCTAAAATAGAGACTTCTCAAAGGGTGCCGTCAACGTTTAAGGTAGTTCTTCAATTCTAGTGTACGGATGGTGTCTCATCCGTAGTATCTAATGACTAATGACTGATTTAATGCAATTGCTACATAATAATACAAATTCTTATAATCACTATGGCTTGAAATATTTTATAGATCGTCTATGGATTCATTCCATTTATACATTATTTTATATTTTAATTTGTTATTTCATTTTGTTTTATATTACTCGCATTAATACATTTTTTGACAAAACTATTTCTACTATATTCGTACATAAATTTTTTTACTTACCACATTTGGGGCAATGTTTATAGGATCCATACGTATCCATGCATGTTCGAAAGAGCTGTTATATGGCGTTTGAACATAGGAAACATTACGATACTCTGCTGTGAAACTACGGACTGGATACCCACCAGCGGCGGTTTTATTGAAACGCCAAATGAGAAAACCCAAAATAGTGGATGCTTTAAAATAGAGTTGTGATACTGGACCAGGTGGTGTACGTACAGTTAGATTGACTTTAAGTATTGCTTGATATTCTTGCTCTTCTTCTTCGTTAAGCGTTGGTAAGGTGGAATTAGTTGTACTACTGCTACTGTTTGCAATAGTGTGAGGTGCCAAGGAGGAGGAGGAGGATGAGGACAATTTTGTTAGAGCTACAGTTGTAGACGTTGTAATTGGCGAGGTAGTAAAAGCAGTTGTTGCATTTGTTTTTGTTTTTCTTATTATATTTGTTGATGCTGTTGCTGTGGCTGCTGTTGTTTTTGTTGTCGTTGTTGTTGCACTTTCAGTTTGCAATAATTTAACATTTTTTGGTGTTGCTGGTATTGCTGGTATTGTTGGTGTTGTCGTTTTTAATAAGTCTACATTTGTTTCTACACTAGTATCACTATTACTAAATACGCTATTATTCGAATATAATTCTACTCTAATTGCTACATCGGTTTTTGTGCTATTAACAATTTCTAAGGCTATGTCTGTGGCATTGCGAGGAGGCACGGAAGCGAAGCATACATAGAGACCACGGTCTGCAGATGATACATTAGTAAGCACCAAATATTTTCCGGTCTGAAAATATAAATGTATATGGAATGCATTAAAATGTAATACATTTCGGTATCATTAAATTAAATCTTATTTTTCATTTTGCATTTGATAATTTCACATTTCATTATTTGCAGTTACAATGTCAGTAGAATGTTGCGCTTTTCATATCTGAAAATGGAATCGATATTGTTCAGTTGGAATGCGCTCTTCCGTACTGAAATTAACTTTTACGCTTGCATATTTTGCAATTTTGTATTTATGCTGCCAAGTTGTGCATAACACATAAATTATTTTTGTATTTGTATTTAAAAATCTGAACCATACAATATTTTAGTTATAAATTTGTATGAATTCATATTAATAAATATTTTACTATTTTACTATGTTGGATTATTGTAAAATATTCCCTTTGAAATAAATGTTACGTTTTGCTTTTATTAAAATTCCTACTGAATTTCATCGGTTCAATGCGTTATTCCTCATATATGTTATATTTGGCATACGTTTTTTCCACTTTATTCATAAAAAATACGAGTATATATTATATGAGTACCTTGTGCAGAATAAAAATAAATAATAAATCCAAGTTAATTTATATTTACCTGAAAAATTGTGCTGTTATTGCCGTTTTCTTTAACCCACATGATGTTACCGTCAGCAATACAAGGAATGGAGATATTTTTCCCTTTATCCGTAACGTATTCGTTATACTTTATACTCGACGTTAATACTGTAAGCACTGGAAGAGAAAATCAGATATAAAAATTATACAAATATGTAAATTTGTAAATAAAATAATATTTTCATATACAATTTATTATTAATAAAAACAGAATATTCAGAAATAAATATGTAACGATGAGCTGTTCTTGTCAGCATATTTCATGCCAAATTTAAATATTATTACAACACGAACATGGGCGTAGGGGTAGGGACACTCGCCCCCCTAATTTTCAAAATTTATTATTGTTCGAATAAAAATTTAATACTGATTTTCAAGTTTTCAATGAACTATATATGAAATGTACTAGCTAATATAAGCCAAAAAGCAAAAGAAGAAAGTACTAAAGAGGGGTGCCTTAGCACACTTTAAAATATATTATAATATCATATAATTATATCAGGCGTCCCCCCTAATTAGGCCCAGGGTACGCCCTTAAACACGAACATTTTAATTGCTCAATCTTGAGATACACAAATACATGCTTTTTAATAAAAAATGCTTTTTAATATTATAATATAATTTCACAAATTTTTTAAATAAGCTTATTTTTTAAATAAGTGTTTCCCCCTAACTTCGGTCCTGGGTACGCCCTTAAACACGAACATTTTAATTGCTCAATCTTGAGATACACAAATACATACTTTTTAAAAAAAATGCTTTTGAATATTTATTTATCATCTGTACTTATTGAACAATAATTAATTATCTGCTCTCATCTCTATCTCCTGATTACTGGAATGAAGTTTCCACATTGATGTGGAAATCTTCTACATTCATTCCTAAGAGGTGATTTTAGTGGGTTCAATTCTCAACAAAAAAAAATTAAACAATAATTGATACAAATTACGAGTACTTTTGATGCATGAGACGATAGAATCGTAAATAGCACAATTAAAATTTCATAAAGTTCTGAACTTCGATCCTGATATTGAAGTGAACAACTATCCAGTTTCGCTACTCACAATAATCTCTTAGCATAAAAACTCACATATATTACCCCTAAGTAAGGCGATTTGTCGTTTTTACGCGTTTTGGGAATCTTTTTCCGCATTATTGCGATTGGCACCTGAGATATGGTAGACCCTTTTTTTATGCCATAATAGGCTACTAACCTGGCATGATGCTTCAATAGATGTATACGTAAGCATACCGGATTATATTCCCATGAACATCGCCAAAGGAGAACGTTTACCATCACTTTCTTTAGCTAGTCCTCTTAGTACTTAAATTTCTTTCACAATATGCCTTCTTGTTGAATAAGTGAATAGTGTAGATCCAATTAATTAGTATTGCGTTTCTCGTTTGATAAGGCAAAGTCCTTTCATTGGCTTCGTGTACTTAATGCCCCGAAACTCAAACACAGAATGACGCCGTTGCTTAGCACCAGTTTATTAAGAAGTGATATTGAGTTGTTCTGCATATACGTACAAGTTTTGACAGACTTTAAGACTAGTAAGGCCACTTTCTTTTTAAACATTATTTTGATTGTCACATTATTCGTATTTTCCAACAATCGCGATGGTATAACGAGCTTGATGTATAAGTGACCCGTGGGATTTTTTTTATTGAAATCGAACTGTATTTATTACCTTTCTGTCTTCTATTGTATAATACTATTTTATAGTAGTATTCTACTATATATATATATATATATTCTGTTCTATTAAACTATTGAATATTTAACTTTCAATCTATCATTATAAGTATTAATTATAATTTTTTTTTGTTCTATTTATGTATATGTAAAACTAAATAGCATTTTAGGGTTTGCCAAAGGTTCTAGGTAGTTTTAAACCCCAAGTTTTTCCTACATATACGGTAACATAATGGACCAATAGGCGTAAGAGTTTCCACCAGGGATCGCCGGTATGACCTAACCTATATATATGTATGTTTGCAATGAATTTATAATATTTATTCATTAATTCATTAGTAAAATGTTATTGGAACTCATTTTATTCAAATCAATTTTTTAGTAATTTGTTAAATATTGAGTTTCATAAGTATATTACTCATATTTATATGAGTGTGTGTTAACTATATTTTACCTTATATTCATACTATACATTCACATTTTTTACATAGCATTTACTATAATATTTCATATAATATATAATATGAGTAGTATTCAATATTTTATGAAATTATAGAGTTGAAATGCATGCCTTTCATTCGTGAAATTAATAATTGCTCATTCCACTGGAACTAATAATAAAACAGACATAAATTAAATTATAAAATCTAAATTAAAACTTTTGTCTTTAGGGAGCTTGTTGAAAAAACCAATTTGAAAATTAAAATAATAAATATTGATAATTCAATTAATAATGTTTTATACTTCTGTAGATGGCAAAATAATGATGGCAAAAGTTTCATTCTGAAAACTAAAAGTAGTATAAAAACTTATTTCGTACTTTGAATATACAGTACGAGTTAAAAAATGATTGGCCATACAAAAAAGGAATTTTACCGAGTGTACTTCCGTTTATTTGCAATATCATTCACCTCCGAAAATAAATGGACTGAACGCTTTTTAATAGTTTACGGTCTACTGATTATTTTTTTAGAAACTTTTCTAATAATATATTTCTTTGCTACATTGCATGAGCCAGATAGATTACTAGAAACGCGGGGTGTACTCAGAACAATTAGTGAGACGATTTACATATTAATTAAAATATTACGTATTAAATTCGTCCTTCAAGCATTACTGCAACGAAGAAAGGAAATACACTTTCAAAGGATTTTCAAGGATATCGACGATAAAATCCAAACATTGTTGCAAACCGAACAAAGTAGTTTACGCTTAGTTAATCAGCGTCTGGCAAAGAGTTTTAATCAATTGTTGGTTACACAAATTGCTTTAGAAGTATTGGGCACTGTTTTGGGAATAACACTAAGCACATTTCAAGGCTCATATACGCTCACCTTAGAGGGTAAAATAGTTTTTGCATTGAACTTATTTGCAATACAATCACTGGCAGCTTACTATATAAAATTTACATTTCTGGTGGCTCAAATTGATGGCAAATTGCAATTGCTGAAATATGCCATGGAAAGGATTTTAATTAATACGGAAATCAGTGAGAATTACAACAACAATACTATCACAAATACATCCATTGATTTTGGCACAATTGAAACTCCAAAACTAAATAATACTTACATCAATAATTTGATTGACAGGCAGCGAGATGAAGGAGTCCAATATAATAAACTGCAGGAAATTCAAGTAATGAAAACCATTTATACGGAAATTGCTTCAATTAATGAAGACATTACAAATTATTTTGGAATTTCCATTCTACTAATGGATTGTGCATCTATAAGCCAATTTACGAATATTTGTTATGTCATTATTGTTGCTATGCACGGTATGACCTACAGAATCATAACCATGGTACAGTCATTCTTCTTAGCCCTATTACCGGTAATTCATATAGTGACCGTTAGTTGGGTCTGTGAGCGTTGTGGTAAACATGTATGTTTCGTTTAAAGTTTCTTATTCAAACTATTTTTACTAAAACCTATATTTTGCAGCCGGCAGTTATATTACATAAATTGAACCAAGCTAAGTCCTGTTTATCCAAACCATATCATTTGATACTCGATGATTTTACGTTACAAGTTATGCAAAATCCTATACACTTTACGGCTGGAGGCTTTTATGATTTAAATTTGAGAACATTAGCAAGCGTAAGTTTTACGGAATATTTAATGTAAACTATCTTAGGTATAAGCTAAGATTTGGAGTCGTTCTTATATAACTACTTTTTAGAAGAAATTCATTAATAACATGAGTTAGTCAAAATAAGATTCTGTTATGCTTGAATACTTTGATAAAGCAAAAGAATCTAAGTAGTTCTATTTTTCCGATTAGTTGAGTTTAAAGTATTATTGGTCTATTTGAAATGCTTGAAGAATCCTAATACTTCTGTAAACGTTTTGCATCATATGTAAACATTATGAGTTAGATCATATCACCGTGTTTGTTTTCAATATTTATGGGCCCAGATATGTGACCTATAAAAACCTCTTTATTTTCAAGTTCTATGTAATTTAAAAGAAAACACATATTAACAATTCTAATTAGTGTTCTATTAGTGTTAGTATTCTGTTATCTGAGATAATCGAGATTCGTAGCATTCATCCCAGCTAATGATTTTTCCGGTTAATAACCAACGGCTAAGTTACGTTGACAGTAATCCTCACGTCAAATGTCAACTTTTGTTCTTTCAATGTCAATTAAAATATTGAGAATGAAAGAAAGAGAGAAATTTCAATGAAAATTTTGTTCCATTGACAAAAATCACATTTTTCAAAATAGTATTGCTACTTATGTTTACATATCCACACAAGAAATAATTATTTTATATGTTAACCTAAAAAAAGTGTATCAAAATAAAAGTACGAAATTTACAATTGTAATATGACTCTCTGTAAAATCTACATTTTCGTCATGGTTAAAAATATTGTCAAATTGACGTGACCATCCATCACTGGACTGTCTGTATTACTTAGTCCTAATAGCATCAAAAATCCTGAAATTGTGCAAAAGTGCTAGCTAGCAGCATCAAAAATGAGATGTCTATCAGTCTCATTAGATTTTTAGCCTTCCAAAGTGGATTTCAAATATTTTCAGATCTGAACATTTACAAATTAAATGTTTAGTTGCTTCTTTTTCTTCTTCTTTCCTTCAACTCTTGCATCTTTGATTAAAGGTGAGAACAAATGTTTGGCATATGTGTACACTGTTCAGAGACCTGTCAGAACCGCCAAAAATTTTGCCGTTTGATAATGACTCTGTTCAGTAATATTTTTACAACTCATCGTGATTTTCTATTTATGTTCTACTCTTAGAAAATGATTATACTTTAATTATGATATAAAATGTACTATAATATAGTACCTTCTTTATTA